TCACAAAAAGAAGTTATAAATTTCATTACAATATCATATGATAATAAGAATAATATATCATCTTTTACTAAAGTAAAAAAAGGTGAACAAAGTAAACATTGTTGATGAGGATTTTGCTCAAAAGTAACAATGTAATAAGATTAGAATATAAAAATACAATCTTCAACTACTAGAAGCAAAGATACATTCCAAAAAAAATAAAAATATGGTTGTTAAGCAATCAATTAATGTCAATCACAAAAAATCTATACAAATTACAATCTAAAAAAAAAATATTAAAAAATCCCAAAAATCAAGAATCACACGATGGAATGCGCCCGTGTCTCCCATATGTCGAAAACATTCTCGTCACTATGCAACGCAAATAGCCTATCGCCCCCGATCGAGAAATCGCAAATGGAACCGCCGTAGCTATTCCTCAACCTAGAGGTCAAAACCCAATCGGGCCCCGCGAAAACCGACACGCTATCGTTCATCGACGAAAAAAGCTGCCCTTCGTGCAATGCAAGCTTCGGATAACAAGGCTCGTCCGGCATTTTCCCCTTCATTAGCCTACTCCTCGAGCTCCACCTCACGATACTTCCCGCGCGCCTCAAGTCCATAAACCCTAGATCCTCGTACTCGTTCACCACGCATATAGAGTTGGTTTCCTCCATAGCTATCGCGTCTCTAACTCTCCTCTCGTCGGTAATACGCGCACCGATATCTGACCAAGACCAAACCATGCTCTTATCTCTAAAATCCAACAAACCTATGTAGCAATTATCCTTCCTCGGGAATAGTGTCGCGACGAGTAGACAATTCGTGCCGTGTAGCCATTGTAGCTTGTCCGCTTCCCCGAGCGACCAACCGGGCGGCTCGTAAAAGAAATCGACTTGGTTTCCGGTGACTTGGTCCCACACGCCAATCCCGTATTCGTTACTCCTCCCTTTACAACTCGAAAACAACTTATAATCTTGATTAAAGCTCAACGCTCCACCGGTGTAGCTTTTCGCTTGATTTTCGTGCGCCACGTGGAATTTATACCTCAACTCCCCGTTCGACGTGCTGAACAGTCCCATACCGCCTTCGTCTCTGCCTAACCTCTCGCACGCGCTAATTACGATATTATCCGAATCGACCCAAATTGCGTCGTTCACCCTCTGGTAGTCGAGGTTGATTGGAGGGTGCTCCTCGAGCGTCCAGTCGTAGACGTGGACCATGCTGCCGTGGGCGACGCAGCAGCCGCCGTCCGGGCCGGCCCGGATGGCGGTGCCGTCGCCCGGGGCCCGGCCGTGCACGGACCGGGCCAGGTGGAGCCTGTTCCCATCGAACGGGCCCCACCTGGCGGTTCTGACGTGGTCGGATAGCCCGTAGAATAGGGCCTCTTTGTAGAGGAGCTTTTCCGGGATGTTTGTTGGGATGTGGAGCTCCCCTGTTCTTAGGAGGTCGAGGAGGATGGAGAAGCAATCGGGGTTTCGGTCGATGAAGTGTTCCGTGGCGGCGGCGGTGGTGGCGGGATTGGATTGGAGATTCCAATTCTCGTCGAACATGGCTCCGAAGAGGGAATTCCGGCCGGCGTTTGCGAGGGTGGTGGCGGTGGTTTCGAAGATTCGGCCGCCGACATTGAATTTTACTCTATCTTTCTGAACTCCCATCATTCAAAATTTGATGATCTAGAGAATGGTGGTTTTGAATTTAATACTTCAATTTGAACCAAAGGGGGGAAAATAAAATGACAGAGGATCACAACACAGCACGCATCAACAGAAGGAATATTCGATTTTTACAGAGAACAAAAAAAAAACATAAATTGCGATGAAAATTCAACGAAATTCGACCATTTACAGAGAGCTAAATAACAACGAACAGGGGGTTTTGACTGGATTGAATCACCAAAGAAAGTAAACAAAATAAAAATTAAAACTTGCGCAAGAGAAGTGGAATATTTGCAAGAAAGAGAGATTTGGGAGATGGGTTTTTGAATTTTCTGAAGAATTTGGTGAGATTGGGAGGGGTTGGATTTCAAAAATTGACTCTGTTTTTTGATCTTAAAAAAACATGGGCTGAATTCTCAAACTTAATACCAATCTTTAATAAAATATCAATTGGTCTACAGATGGGCCCCACCGCCATTTTATTTTATTTTATTTTAGTTTATTTCCGACCGTCGGATTGATCAAGATTTAATCGACGGTTTGGGACCTTTTCGGAGGACTTATTCTAGTTTTTTGAATCTAACAGTTAATATTCATTTGTGCCTAAACCCCATATGCGATTCAATAAAGATTTATAATCTCACGTCTGCAGGGGTATAATTGGTATTTTTCGGGCAATATTCCATGGATTTAAGGGGATGATGTAAGACCGAAACAAACGTCGGGAGATTTTGATAATTAGAAATATGTGGGTGTTTTTCATAATTTAGCCTAACTTTAGGGTTTTTTTTATATGATTTACCGAAAGATTAATAAGGTAGGTCATTTACCTAACAAACATCATTATCTGATTATAATCGCATCTTAAGCAATTTCAATGTGTCAATTTCAAGTTCGAAAGTAATCATCAAAGTTTTATAACACCAAAGACTATATAATTAGCAACTCTAAATATCTAATGCAAAATATTTTTGAATAATGAAATAAATTAGTTAATAATTATCTACTATTTAATATTTGCAACAACTAATGACAAAAAAGGGTGAAATGATACTTACACTACATGAAATCATCATGTATATAACTAACTAAAGACTTGCATCTAAAGTTATCAAAAAAGAGGAAGGTTATGAACAAGTGAACCTCACACTATACATTTTCAATCCTAAATATGAGGAAGACGATCGATTACTAATTTCTTACGTAGAGAGAGAAAAAAAATTCAAATTGAGAGCTAAAAACAGATACTTTAAAAATAAAAAGGGTAAATTACAAACACATTCCAGAGGTAAAGTGTACTTGCAAAAAAAGCCCTTTTATTTGAGAAATTACATCCAACCCCCTACAGTTTGTAGATTTCTTACATTCACCCTCCTATAAAAGGGTGCTAACGTAAGATATCTACAAATTTCAAGGGGATGAATGTAATTGTTGGAAAATAAGGGGTTCTTTTGTAAATAGACCTTACCTCGGGGCTTACCCTTAAAAAACATTAGTAAACTTCAGAAAAATTCTTTATCAAATAAACTCGAGAAATTGTACATTTTATGTACCAAAAGAAAGAAGAAAAGAGAAGTAAATGTACATGTAAAATGTTACAAGTTTACAACAACAATTGCACCAGATCAGCAGTAACTCAAATGTCCAAATGCTATTAAAAAAAAAGATTTATAGAATCCACACATTTCGACAAATCTGGTCCGTCCGATTCGATTCCAGGCTATGTTTTTTCATGACCTGTATTCCTGGAAATTTGCATGGCCGGTTGCCTGTGCATGCGCCACCGCTTCCTGTAGAAAATCGAAGGCAAAATATATATATATATATATAGACCACAATTTCAAGATATAAAAAAAAAAAAAAAAAAAAAAGAAGAAAGGAAGACGAGCGGCAAACAATACAAACCATCTGCCCTACAACTCCGATTTGGCAAACAGCGCACCGTAAAGTGAACTTAGCCGTGTCTGTATAACTCCTCTTCCTATAAATTTAACAATAATACTATTAGAGTGTGTCGAATATGAAAAGATAAAATAAATATATTAATAATTAGCACAAAATAGTCACTCAAAGTTCTCTATAACTGCACCAAGTCGTTTATTTTAGCTTCATATTTAATAAGGTTGAGCAAAATTTTGGTTTCGTTTTTCCCTTGCTTGAGCTATGATAACATATAATATATGTCTATACTTTAGAAAAATACGATCGAGGTTGCATATAACTTATAAATAACAGTTTTGCTGCCATATACAGTAGACGCAGGAGTACTATGTAGAACGTGATAGAGTGGAAGCGATTCACAATCGTATTTTGAAACTTTTTAAGTAAGTAAAATATGTCACGAAATTGGTGTCATAAGTCAGAAATTTTTTAAAGATAAAAAGATTTTACCTGTGCTGGTCTTTAACGAGATTAAGGGCTAGGCTCTCAACGGGCCCCACTGTTCTGTCCTTCTGGACAGCAAATATCGTCTGATCAAATTCCTCTGGTGCTTCTTCGAACGGACACATCTGTCGAAATGTAAACATACTTTTCCATTCACAAATTTAAAGAACTAAAAATGCACATTTAATGCACAAAAAATACGTAAATTACTCAGAAAATGCACACAGAGAAAGAGGATAAGAAAGAAAAAACATACAGACAAAGCATCATAATGGAGCCCGTCGTAAATAAGCATCACTCTTTCCTCGTACTTCTTTTCCTGTAGATACAATCCGAAAACAATCAATACTCGAGCAATCGTAACCATTCACGTTGCAGAAGGACTAAAATTAAAACAGAAATTACTAACCTGCCCATACAAATCGCATCTCGTGTTTTGTATATCATACGCTGCAATTTCTCGTCCATAATATTCTGCCAATATAGCAAGCTCAATCGCACCTTCATATATTAACCAACAAAAAGACTGTCAATACATTAACCGAACAATCTTAAAAATAATGTCACGTAAGTTTATTTGATTAAAGTTAAAATCCGACCTCCCCATTTTTCCGGATTAAGAATCCATGTACAGTATTCTTCATTAGTCTTTCCAAGAAATGCTTCGGTATATTTTTCTGGATCACTGCTTACTGCTGCTGCTATAACCTTCATTGGTCGAATTTAAACAAATAAACATAAAAAAAAATTTTAAAAAAAAAAAAAATTATACTTCATTTGATCAAATGACTCTCGTTTTGTTTTATAAAAAATATTATCGGAACTCAGTTACTATTGATGCTAAGAAAAATAAAATGAAAGTAGGAACGGTTTAGATGTGAAAAATGCAATCCCGTCTCAGCTTAGAAATGCCGACTACACAATGAATATCAAGTGGCATATTATACGAATCGTATTTACTATTTACTGAAAATAAAACATGATCAAACTTATAACCTGTCTCAGCTCGGAAGCCTTGTTTTTGTTGTGATCCATGACATAACTGCAGATTAAATTCCGTAAATTAGCTATCATATAAATTATAAATTCACACGTGATAATCGAAATAAACTCAAGATCGAAATAAACGTCGGTAACTTTTTTCTTTTATGCTATTTAGATAATAAACTCAAGATTGAAAGCTTACCCGACCGCATTGAAGAGGCAACTATTGTCGGAAGGAATTACTCTCCTAACTACAACACCTTCCATTTTTTAAAACCTGAAATCGACAAAATCGTGTTCAGGCCTCGTTCGAAATTTCAGGCGCGGATAAAATTAAGTTACGAAGATTCGACATCAATAAACGAGCCCACAAATGAAAAAAGATTTCACCAAATCGACAAGATTTTTTTCTTTAAAAATGAAAACATGAGTAACCAAAGAAGCATAACAAACGGTAATCACAAACAATCAAGAAAAAAATTATTTAAATTTATTTTACGACTCGTTAATCCAACTTGCCTCCGGGAATAATGCAAGCTAAATTACGTAGTTTTAATTCCCCAACACCCCAGAAAATAATGAATTTAAATAATAAAAAAAAAAACATGATCAACCGAAGAAGCATAACAATCAACAAATGGTAATAACAAGCAATCAACAAACCATTTTTAATCCAATAAGCAATACTGAAGAAGATTGCTATTCAAATAGAACGAATTCGACAATAAAAATCAATAACAATTCAAAAAAAAAATCGAGAAAAAAAAAAGATGGGTACCTGAAATAATTTGGGAGATGAAACGAAAGGCGAGTTCTAGATCTGGATTATATCTCACAAAATATTCTTGCGTGAATTCTGCAAATGAAGCAAAAAGGCAGAATTTATAATGGAATCCGAATAACTGTATCTATCGTCGTAATCCGAATTTGACAGCTTTGAATTGCGCAATTAATGAGAGCGAAAAAGGGGATTATATAATTTGTTGGGAATTGAAATAAGCAGCTATTGATTTCTTTCTGTGTATGGATAATTGGATATGGAGTTGGTTGAAGCTCAAGTTCTCTCGGAGTCGGCGTTTATTCAATTGTTATTCTTAACCGGGCCGGGTTTTTTCTTAACCGGGTCGGGTTTTTTCTCTTAACCGGGTCGGGTTTTTAGCAGATTATACGCTTTTAAGTTGATGTATTTGCAAAATAATTTTGAACTTTGCAATATATTTTCAAAAAAAATATCTCTAACTGTCCAATGCAGTTTTGAACCGAAAACTGATGCTGCAAAAATCTGTTTTTTACTGTAAGTTGTAACTTAAAACAGCTAGTTTAGAGAGAGAAAGTAAAAATTCCATTTGCAGATATATATAACAATAAATAATAAAAAAACCGCCTTAAAAGGAAGTTTTGCAATTTTTTAGCGGTTCGAAAGTAAATTATCAAAATATTGTAAAGCTCGAAAGATGTAACCTATCCGAGAAGCGATAAATCGATATAAAATGTCGAGCTCTCATTCACACTATTCAAGTCATAAGACTTTCAAAAAAGGAAACAAATGTATTAGAAGGAACAACAGTTATATAATCCATCTGTTTGTGAATACATAATACCATACAGCCAGCCACTTTCAGCCTCTTCTCAAAATGAGGCCAAAAGCAATAAAATTGTAATTCAAAAAAAAAAAAAAAAAAACACAATTACAGGGGCGGGGTAAACACGAGAAGAGGCTCAGCTCAAAAATCAAACTCACACAGCTAATATGTGAAGAATCGAGGAAACAATTAAGGTTCGTCTTTGTCACAATGGAATGTCTCGACATTCCCAAAGGCTCCAATATCATATCCTCAAAGGGCCGTTTCCAGAGATCTCGTTATGTCCCTGCTGTTTAAGTTTGAGTCTACTGTTTGCAATCTCTTGAAATACGTTCGGTCCACCAAAGTCAGCTTTGAAGGCCTTTATCTTCTTCCTCTTTCCTCTGTCGTACTCCTCATCCCTGCCGATGAAAATTAATGTTAGAACTAGTGTGCGTAAGCAATAAATATAATTCTTAGTTATGAAAATCGAGGTTGTACGTAGAGGTTACGCCTTTCATCTTCAATGCAAACTGATTTTAAATGTCAAATTTGTAGCAACGAAAGAATGATTTTCAAAACAGTTGTTTTATTTTCAAAAGTTGATAATCGAGTAGTATTATATATAAAAGATACAAGCCCCATAGTTTGATGATTCACTGCAACTCAATAAAAATATAAAAAGTGAGATGTCAGTAATCTTATGAAGTGGATACTAACCATTCATCTCCAACGTAACCAATTCGCATAGTCTTGGCTGCATTTTGTTTTCGTTTTGCTGAATGCGTTCCATCCCAGCGAGCAACTACAGTCAAGCGAGAAAAAAAAAGTTTTAAAAAATAAATAATAATAATAATAATAATAAATATTTGCAGATGTAATGTATTATTAGAAAATATTCTTTACCAACTGTCTCTTCTAAGCCTCTAGTAAGAAGGCTCATTGCATCACTCTGCCTCGATTCACTTTGGTGAGCTTCAGAATTACCAGGTCCTTTAGCAGCACACTGCCTTAGTTGAGGTTTATTTACGGCAGTGCCATCAAGAACTCTCTCTCTAGATTCATTATTGATAACATCACTCGATAGACTCCCTTCTTTGCCACTAATGTTTTGTGTGCTTAAAATATGAGTTTCACCAACTGAGCCACAGTTTGCTTTCTTTTCCGGGGTAAGGGTAGAATGGTCAATAACAGTAGATTGCTTAAGATTTGATGGCAAGTCATTCTCGACCGATATATGTTTCACATTAGGAGACTTCTTTTGATCTCTTCGCTTGGGTTTTTTCTTTTGCTTGTGCAGACCCACACCGAATATAATGTTGGAGCTGAGCGATGTTGTGGCAAATTGACACTTGAAGAGCTTCCTTTTCGCTTTTAGTACACGCCTCTTGTTTTTGGTTGTGTCCCCATTTTCACGAGTTTCTTCGATTGTTGAATCTCCAGTCTTCTCGGAGGAGCCTCCAGCCTTGAAAGACATAGTTAATAAACGGATAAAACAAACATTCATTTTTTTCATTTCTTTGTTTAAGAGAGAGGATTTACCTGAGACTCATCAATGCTGTTTTCCTGAGAGGATATTGTGTTAACTTTACTTGATTCTTCAGCAATCGTTGCTATGGGAATGGTTTTACTACCACACTGAATGAACGAAAGGTAAAGATGAATTAGTGATGTCTACCTTACATCAGAGAGAGAGAGGCCATTTAAAAACAGGCTAAAAGGGTCAAATACCATTTCGGAATTGGTTCCATCAATTTTGCAAGTGTCTTCAGTTATGAAGAGGATAGAGCCGTTTGGCGGCTGATCAGCTGTTTCAGTTGGGTTTTTCATGGCAACAGAATCACTTGATTCTTTCTTGTGAAGAGAATCCTGTGGCACGTTACATTCAGGCAACACAGTACCACCAGGTTCCTTTCGATCTTCTACAACATTGGACCCGTTGTTGCAGAGAACAGTTTCGGGAGCATGTCCATTGACCTCAAATGTCGAAAGTGACCCTCCTTTATGGCCCACTGATTTAATATTATTAGTAGAATGGTCCTTCAATGGATCCTTTGTTTGTGGCACCACTTGTGATTTTTCAGGCTGAGAATCCTTACAGCCCAAGTTATCAATAGCCATTTTGCCATTTAAATTCTGCAAAGGTGTCTCTTTCGAAGGAGTCTCCTTTGGTGCAGTGGTGATGACTGTTACAGCCGCAGAGGCAGAAGCATTCATTTTTTTGTCGATCGAGTCATTGTGAACCTTTTCTTTTAACACCCCGTTTAATTTTGGATATGCTCCATTCAGTATGGCATTCATACTAACGTTTTCTTTCGGGGCAATGTCGACAGGTTTCTTTGGAATAAAGCTTCTTCTATCTCGAACGTAAAACAACATGTAGGCTTTCTGTTCGAGAACTTTCCTCTCGTTAACTTGGTAAACCTGTTAAAAGTTAGAAGTAAGGGTACCCCATCAAAAAACACAATCCCTGTAATAAAACTGAAACAGTGAATTGCGAAATGGAGATGCTTACACTTGAGGACCCTAATAGTGTTTGCGAAAACTTTTGGAAACAGATTATGACATTTTTCTTGGCTCAAAATCTGCTTCAGCTCACAATTTATTTTTTGTAGCTTTGAGTTACAAGTTCAAAAACATCTCTACAACAACTTTTCTAGTTTAAAAGCACTTTTATAATTAATGGAAAGTTGTATGGGACAATTATTTAAGGTATTTTACAAAAATAAGCTGATAATTCAAGTTTGTTTGCAAACACTACAACTTCTATATTAGCTGATTAAACTTTAAAGCCATTTTTTTAGGACACTTGCAAACACCCCCAACATTAAGAAATAAGCAATTATTACAATCACCAACTTAATGGCTTGTTACAATTATTTCCTCCTACCTGATTGTCATCGAGATTATACCACATGCCACTTGATGTGCGAACAAAGCAGTAGTAGTGGCCAGAACGAGTGCTCCAGCCAGCATGAACAAGAACACCATAGAGGGTGTAATTTAGATCCCCGTCCTGCAATTATTACAGTACAAGAACTGAAAATGCATATAGACAGGAAAATGTTTGAAGCATGGATGTCAATAAAAACCAGAGGCAGGTTTTCAACTGAGTGTTACTACAAAAAGAAACAACTGTCTTACACGATTCTTTATTCCGTCAAAAACTTACATGGGTGCCAGTCACAAAAGGTTTCAAGTCCAAGGTAGGTCCAAAAGCAATTTTCTTGTCGATCTTTTGACCGGGTGAATGTGCACTGAATCGCTTAAGGTGCACAGCAAGTACGTGAGGTGCCTTGTGAACTGTTAGCTGCTTGAGAGCTTTAACTTTCTGCTTGCATTGCTGACACTGATACTCTTTAGCACCTCCGTCTAATTGTTCTTTACTTGTGAAATGAGCAAGTGCCTTGTGTACTGAGTCTGCTTTCGCTATTTCTAGACTTAGATCCAAGAATGGTTCGAATTTGTTAGAGCAGAAGGAACATTGCATGCATTTCACCTAGAAAATGGCAGAACATCCTTAGTCCAAGCAATAGAAAAGCAAAAAACAAAGACCTTTAAAATCTTACAAATAATGTAATAGGATGATTAAACTATTTGCTACTTTTTCAAAGATTCAACCAAAAATGAATCATTATTAGAAACCATAGTTGAATTGAAAATGCTAACTATTTCGACAGCATTATTTAATTTGAAGAAAATTGGAAAATAAGTATCAAAGTATAATCATGGTAGGAAACCTCCAAAACAGTTTTCTTGCATCTTCATACTTCTAATAGCCACTAAATTACCTGACTCCGTAAGCGACCGCCAAATATCTTGTGAACTAAACTTTTATCATAAGCATTATCTGATTCAGTAGGCACTCCAGATGGTAAGCAGCATTTGTGCATCGATTCGAGCAAATTGACCATATATTCATGCGCATCTTCTTGCCTTGCATTCCTAAAGTTCCGAGATATACCTAATATTTTGGTTAAGAAATACACTTAAATATAACAGGATAGAGTATCTTTACATGCCCTTAATTTCTTTGAAATGTTGGCAACTTGAGAGGCAAAAAATATATGCAATAGGAAGCAGAAAAACATATGATACCTGCTAAGCACAAGCTCTCTAGAATTTCTATATTGTGAGAGGAAGCCAACTAAAAATATTAGCATACTATATAAAAACTATAAAGACATATTCACTCTTCGATTTCAAACAGAATACTAGAAACTGGCAACTAAAGATTGCAGATCGAAAATAATCTAAGAGGAGGATTGGCTCAAAACCAGAATCACAAAAGAAAAAATTATTTTCCTAAAATTAACAGAATCAATAGCCTGTCACTTTCAAAGGATACAACGCAAGTTTGAAACAAGATCTTTAGGCTCTAGGATCCTCCCAGTGGACTGCAGAGCACGGCTTACATGTTTCTGAATGGCACATAGAGCACAAAAACCAGCAGTGCGACCTTCATAAAGCATGAAAGAATGATTAGAATGACTACAATAAATAAAAGTGAGCCAAAAGTAGGGAAATACTCACAATTATTTTGGTGCTTCCCACTTTGTAGATAAGCTGCTAACGGTTCTGTATAAGTCAGACATTGCACTACCGAATTAAGGAAACAAGTGTTCCCCAGATTGCGTAATCCGGCACCCTGAGATAAAAGTATGAGCCTTTTTCTTAACACTATTTGCCTCCTCAAAAAAACAAAAAATATACAAGAGGGAGATTTGATAAAGAGGGAAATGATATTATCCCAAAATATTGACAAACAAATAGAATTTGATAATGTATGAACATTTTGAATCTACAAAACAACGAAGGAAGATTTTACCCCAAGAATATAGGACAACAGCAACAGGGCATTTCAGCGAATAAATCCCGTTCCTCTCGTCACCATAATTAATTACTAAGAAACTATGCTTACGTAGCTTTTCAGCAACTAACAGATTCTATAAATTTGTAAAGAAAACAAGAACAATGAGAAAAAATTAAAATGTTTGATCAACCATTGTACGAGCCAACAGAGTCGGGAGGTGAAAATGCGGTAGAAAAGCTTCTTACAACAGTTGAAAAGCTTTTTAGCCCAATACAATAGACAAAGACAATCCAAACTGAAGTGAATACAGTCACCACATGTTTTAGTTGCCTTCCCTCACTTGGCACCTTAAAATGTTCCTTCCACTCTTTGTCGTTACGAAATTCCCACCGCACAACAAACTCCCATCTCTAGGCTTCTAAAATGTAATCATAAATTAAGATAATATTTTTTTCAATTTAAACATTTAAATCATCAGTTCTTTTCCTGAACAAAGATAAGAAGCTAGAAATCCTTAATTATAAACAAAATAAATCAAACAATAAATCTAAAAATACAAAATAAAAAGCTCTTTTCAGCTCAAAACTGTAGTAGCATCAAACCAAAAAAAAAAAAAAAAGTTGGAACTCACGATTCTGCGGAAAGTGATCTCGAGGTTGAGCTCCGGATCCAACCCAATGTCAGTAAGCTCGGACGATTTATCACATTTGTTACCCGAACCGGAAGGCTTGTGGGGCTCCGGGTTAGGGTTAGGGTTCAAGCACACGAGCTTAAACCCTTTGTTGTTCGCAAACCCATTGAACGGCCTCTTCTGCGGTTGATAATCGATTCTCCGATAATGTAAAGTCGGCTCGGGCGGCGCCGCCTCCCCCATAAGATAAATAAATCGGAAGCAATCACGCAGAGGTGGTGGTGGTGGTGGTGGTGGCGCGTTTGTCTGACAAAAAACCACAAACCCTACGGAGGCAGAAAAAGGCTTCCACACACTGATGCATAAGGTTTTCTTTTTTTTGTGTGTGTGTTTGTGTGTGTGCAAGTGTGTGAGAGAGAAAAGCACAAACTTTGTTTGTAAAAAGGCTTTTTCTTATTGGCCCATACAGTTACCCCCATTAAAGCCCACTTACAGAAATCCACCCTCTCTCTAAACATATTTTTATGTGGGCTTATTTATATGTTATTTATATTCTTCCTAAATATATTAATTTTTAATTATATATATATATATATATATATATATATATATATATATATATATATATATATATATATATATATATATATATATATATATATATATATATATATTATTTTTTTTTTTTGAGTAATTTATTTTTATATATTGTTTTATCTATAACAATGAAAAAAAACACAATAACATAATGTATGGAGTAAGTTACATTTAAGTAATTTATCGAGATTTTACTATATACTAATAAACATAATTTAGAAGGTTGACAAAAGTAAATCAAAAGTAATACTTCCATTAGCCTAACACTATCTAAATTAGTGGAAGTTACTCAACTTTAATATTTTTATTTTATTTTTATTTTAATTCAAATACTGATCAGTATTTGATCAGTATTTGGCGTCTATATACAAATCCTTTAACATGTATATAGACGGCTAAAAAGTAGTCATAGTCGAGAAAAAGTCACACGAACAAGCAACAGTAAATCACAACAGGAATACAAAAGACCCTGTAAAAAAAAATACATTATTATAAATTTCACTTTATGTATATACATGTATATAAATGTCATATTTATTTATTTTAATGTTTTATGGGATTGAGAAAAATATGGATTGGGCATGCTTGAGCAAAATTATGCAACACTACTCGATTTTCTTGATCCTTTACCATCCATAATCATTAATAATATTATTTAATGAAATTAATTATGACACAAATTCAACTTGAGGAGAAAACACAAATGATGAGAGGCACCAAAGCACACCACACCTATATGGGGAATCATTGAATTCACACCGTTACATTCCATTCTTCATTCTTGCTTCATTCTTTCTTATGAAAATTCAATATTTTAAAAATATATATATATTTTTTTAATTTTCTTATCTGCAACCCCACACCACCATTTGTGCTCATTTAAAAAGGGTTGTTTTGCAGAGGTCTCTAAAATTTTGTATGTCAGACAGACAGACAAAAAAAAACTTCTCAGAGTATAGTTGTTTTCTCTCTTGGCTTCATTTGAACCCCCACAACTTCATTCTCTTCCCTTCATCCTTAAAATACAAATAAAAAAAAAAAAAAACTTTCTTCCATCTTCTGAGAGAGAGAGAGAGTATTTTCTTACACTGTACCATATTTTCTTGAAAACCTTAAAACAGAGAGAGAGAGAGAGTATTTTGAGAAGGGTTTAGTGGCATATGGATTCATTTCTGTTGTAAGTAGCAGAAAAATGGTTACAAACACATTAATGCTGCTAAAGTTTTGATCTTTAAGGTTTTAAGACAAGGGTTTTGAGGTTTTTTTTTTTTTTTTTTTTTTTTTTTTAAATAAACTGATTTTTTGAGGCCTAATCTGTGATGGGTTTGGATTATTAAGCCATATTTAGTTCAAGCACTGTTCTTATTCCTCTAGTGGTTTGCCAAATACCCAATACAGATGAGTATTTCGTTTTCAATTTCTTGCAAAAAATGGGCTTAAACCCTTCCAAAGACAGCGCCTTTTCTGGTTCCTTCTGTTCATGGAGAGGAGTCTTTTGTGATGACAATGGTGAATACATTTTCAAGTTTGACGCCTCGGGTTTCGGTTTATCCGGTCCAATCCCGGACACCACCATTGGCAAGCTGACAAAACTCCATACCTTAAATCTCAGTAATAACAGAATCACTGCTTTGCCTGATGATTTCTGGAGTTTAACCTCGCTCGAGAATCTCAACCTCTCGTTTAACCAAATCTCCGGGGTTTTACCTAGCAATGTAGGCAACTTTGTTCAGCTTCAAAGCTTGGATCTTTCTCACAACACTTTCTCGGGGAATATTCCCGACTCGGTGAGCTCGTTAACGAGCTTACTAGCTCTGAACCTCAGTCGCAACGGGTTCGAATCGGTAATCCCGTTGGGGGTTTCAAAGTGTTGGTCGTTAGTTTCGATCGATTTTTCATCAAACAAGCTCAATGGCTCTGTTCCTTTCGGTTTCGGTGCTGCATTGTTTCCGAATTTAAAATTCTTGAATTTGGCCGGAAACGAGATTTCGGGCCGGGATTCGGGTTTTTCAGGGATGAAAGTAATGAGGTATCTTAATATTTCCGGGAATCTGTTCGAGGGTTCTGTTGTAGGTGTGTTTGAAGGGGCTTTGGAGGTGGTTGACCTGAGCAGGAACCGGTTTCGAGGCCACATTGCTAAGGTAAACTTCAGCTCCACTTTCAATTGGTCGAATTTGCTGTATTTGGATATGTCTGAAAATCAGTTTAGCGGCGAGTTTTCGGATGATCTGAGCCGTGCTGCGAGTCTCAAACACCTTAATCTTGCACACAATAGGTTCACCGAGCAGCAATTCTTGAAAGTTGACAAGCTTTCTCGTTTGGAGTACTTGAATTTGTCTGGAACTAATTTGATTGGTCAGATTCCGAAGAACATTTCACTTTTACGTAGTTTGAGAGTTCTCGATCTGTCGAAAAATAATCTCAGTAATCATATTCCTCCGATTCTTACTGAGAATCTTGAAATTCTTGATTTTTCGTACAACAAGCTAACAGGTAACATCCCGTTGTTCCTCTTACAAGAACTTCTCGAAATGGAGAGGTTCAATTTCTCTTACAACAATCTGAGCTTTTGTTCTTCCCAATTTTCCAACGAAACCCTCGAATCGGCTTTTATAGGGTCGGTCGACACATGTCCGATCGCCGCAAATCCAATCTTTTTCAAAAGAAACGCTCCGAAAAATCATACGGGACTAAAGCTGGCACTAGCTTTAGCCTTATCGATGACATGTTTGCTTGTGGGGTTAATCTTTTTCGCCTTTAGCTGCCGAAGGAAGAACGCAATGTGGGCGGTGAAAAAGCAGAACAACTCTTTTTCTGCCAAGGAAGAACAGCAAGTTATATCCGGACCGTTTTCTTTTCAGACAGAATCGACAACTTGGGTGGCAGACGTAAAGCAAGCAACATCGGTGCCTGTAGTAATCTTCCAAAAGCCGTTGCTTAATTTCACATTCGCGGATCTTTTATCCGCAACCTCGAATTTCGATCGAGACACATTGCTTGCGGAAGGAAGATTCGGGCCCGTTTACGGCGGGGTTCTGCCAGGTGGCGTCCACGTGGCGCTCAAGGTCTTGGTCAACGGGTCAACCATGACGGATCAAGAAGCTGCGAGAGAGCTCGAGTACCTCGGACGAATCAAACACCCAAACCTCGTACCGTTGACTGGATATTGTCTAGCTGGCGACCAAAGGATCGCGATTTACGAGTACATGGAAAACGGGAATTTGCATAACTTGCTATACGATTTGCCTCTTGGAGTTCGAACCAGCACAGAAGATTGGGAAGATGATCTTGAAGAAGAAAACGGGATACAGAATGTGATTGGTCTAGAGGGTTCTTTAAATACTTGGAGATTTAGGCATAGAATTGCTCTCGGAACAGCTCGTGCGCTTGCATTTCTTCACCATGGATGCTCGCCTCCGATTATACACAGAGACGTGAAAGCGAGCAGTGTTTATCTCGATTTTAATTTGGAGCCGAGATTGTCCGATTTCGGGCTTTCCAGGATTTTCGGAAATGGGGTTGAGTACGATGAAATTGTTGTGAGTGGATCGGAAGGGTATATACCGCCGGAGATTCTTGATCCGGAAAATGGCTGCGAGCCGACGCCGAAATCTGATGTGTACGGATATGGAGTGATTCTCTTCGAGCTGATCAGTGGTAAAAAGCCTGTGGGAGATGATTACGGGGGCGAAAGGGGAGTTAATTTAGTGAGTTGGGTGAGAGGGCTAGTGAGGAAGAATCAAGAATCGAGAGCTATAGATACGAAAATACGCGGGAGTGGACTCGATGAAGTGATGGCTGAGGCTTTGAAGATTGGATATTTGTGCACGGCTGAAGTACCGTTTAAACGGCCGACCATGCATCAGGTTGTTGGATTGCTTAAGGATCTTGAACCAATTACACAACAATGAAGAAATTATCAAGATTCCTTTTTTTTCTTTTTTTTTTCTTTTTTTAAATGTTATTGCCTATTATGGTGCTGCTGTGAGAAGATTGTGTAGCAGCTGTAGTTTTCTTGTTTTTTTTTTCTGGATTTTCATTAGTGATTCCGATTCTTGATCGATATAAACCTCGGTTTGATCCATAAAAATCGCGTCTTTAGTGCTAATGTGTTCATGTGTAACAGCACTTTTTTTTTCTTTGCTAAGAGGATGAACTTATGTGATTTTTGCATACTCTATGAGATTCAAAAGATTATTTGGATGATAGTGAATTATGCAATATATAAAAAATAAAAAATAAAAAAAAATTGGATTGCTAAATTTTGTGGTGGATCTGTATTCTGTTATAAGTTAGTTGTGGGCAAAATGACAGTTTCTGTGCACACAATCATCTGGTGCAACTCAACAATGGAGGACCACCATACCACAATAGGTTCATAAAGTATGTTTGTATCTATTCTTAAATGAGACAAGCACCATAAATAGTATCAAAACACCCGTGACGAAAAATATATTTCGTGCGGTTTGCTGGCTGCTGCACGAGAGTGGAATTTACTCAGTATACACACGTGGTTACGTCTTAAAATAACAATCATGACACAAAAAAAAATTATTTTGTATGGTTTGCGGGCTATTGCACGAGAGTGAACTTTAATCAATATACATACGTGGTTGCGGATTTCTTGTCTAAAGACAATTACCTAATGTTAGGACAAGAAAATTAAGGCATTCTTGTAATTATTTAACTGTAAAGTGAGGTTACTAATTATAATAATATGTCACTTGAATGATTGTTTGTGATTAAAGTCATGTTGAATTTTGTAGTTTAAGTTGTTCTTGGATTACTTTTGAATTTTATCCAAGAATCTAAATAAATTAAGAAAGTATTATGGAATCAAGCAGCAAATATGTGCTGCACCACTAGCTAATTGCTTTAAGCATCAACTACCAAATTAATGTGCCCACTATCTGCATATTTTTTTTATTTGAAACAAATTATTCAACACTCGATTCAAGATCGATTGTTGTAAGCTCGTTTGAGATCGATTCATTAACGTAATAAAATTGAAATTGTATTTCATTGAAGTATGAAACTTATCATAATGGAGAAATTATAAACAACTTGTCGTTGAGGTGTCTTTCAAGTCAGCAATAATTAATTGTAAATTTTTCGTGTTTGGTAAATCTCGAATATTGTTGCACGAGTCCACTAATAAAGTGCTATCTAAACAAAACATTAAATAATAATAATAAGCTCATAAGAAATTACAATAAAGTACAAAGGGAAGACATTTCAATTTATAATGAAGAATTTTAATTACTAGTGCAAATTAAACCAACCATAATCACTTTTCAAATCCCACATTTTAAATTCTCAACTGAATAATAATAAATTAAAGCAAATTAAAAAAAATCAAATGATGTAATTCTCAGTTCAAATTCTACGGCAAGTCAAAGAAGCGTGGTTTAGTGGTAAGATTATTTGAGTCACTAAAGATAAGTTGGTGATCAACTTAAATTTGAAAAAGCACTTTTGGAGCTAGAAAAATAAGTTGTTTATGCTAATAATTGTAAAACTGTAATCATATAGTATAGAGTTTCTTTGACTTTCCTACATGTGAAAAATTGGGCACAATTTAAACATTTTAAACAACATGACAAATTAATTAAGGCGGCGGATGTATACAAGTCCATTTTTTTATTAGTTCAAGACCTCCAACATAGAAATACTAACTTACCCTTAATGAAATTCAAAACTAAATAAAAAACACAAAATATTTAAAAAATAAAAAATCGGCACTACAACGCCGATTTTTACTTGTAAAGTCGACGTTGTGTCGCCGATTTCGTTAACAAAAATCGGCATTATGACGCCGATTTTAGTGTACAAAATCGGTTTAGGTAAACCGATGAAAGCACAAAAAAAAAAACTAATTTCAATCTCAATTTTTTTTCCACAATCATCCAACATTTAATAAACATACATTAATATTCATCCACGCATATTTATGAAGAATCGATGTTCGATTAATGTTTTAGAATTTACAAACAAAAGTTTAGTAAAAAAGACTTACTTGTTGGCAGTGGTGCGGTGGGTGGGTTGCTGGTCGGTGTTGCGGCGGCAGTCGTGAGTTTTTTTTTTTTTTTTTTTTTGATTTTTTGGTCTTGTTCAAATTAAATATAGGGTTTGTTTGTATTTGGGTATTATTTGTGGATAAGAGTATATTCGTCATATTTGGTCTTGATGCAATAAGATTAGATTAATTTACGGGGTTGAACTAATAAACCACTTTATATGGCTTTGAACTAATAAAAAAATGAGCTTGCATATATCGCGGCCATTAATTAATTGTATATTTCCTACATTTAATTTAATTTAATTTACATAAACAATTTTCACCTTATTCATATTTTTATTAATTGGGCTTTGGCCCAATATGAATTGGGTTTGTGCTAGATGCTAAGCCTCGATTTACTGCTAATATCTTAATAAATCATGTATATTCAAAGATTCATATTTCATTGGGCTCAGGCCCAGTAATATATACACATATAATAATAATAATAATAATAATAATAATAATAATTAAAAAAAGTCAGAGACAAGTAAAATAATTTTAAAATAAAAATAAATTTTGTTTTCTAATTTCTGAAAATGAAAAAAGAAAAAGAAAAAAAGAACCGGAGTCAAGAAGTCAACACAAGAATCCGAAGCAATGATGGAATAAATGTCCGGTTCATAAAACAATTCCGATTCTGATAAATGAAATTAACAATTAAAAACTTTACTAACGACACTCCATAAAAGTTATCGCCACGCCCTGCGCAATTACTAGCCTGCCCCCATTAGTCTTGTATAAACAACGCTTGAGCGATGGGGCTTTTGGTCATTTCAGCTGAAGAATCAGTCCACACAGGAGGAAAAATGGAAAAGCTTTTTGTTACTTCTCACTCACAAAAGCACGCACTCACACACTGACTGCGTGTAGGAATTCGTCATGGAAGAAGAGAGAAATCGGAGCTCGGTAGCTCTTCCGGTGACGGAAATCGAGAATTCGACGCCGCTAAACGGCGGTGAAGGAGAAATTCGAGATCAAATAATAATAATCGAGAAAATTGATGAACAGAGGCCGGTGCTCAATTATGCAGCTGGGAATAATTCCGGAGGTGAATCAAAAGCTCCCGAATTCGAAACCCTAGATTCCGTACAGCTGCCAGAGGGTGATTTGCAGGCCGATTTTGATGAGTCCTCCCACCTTCTGTCAGGTAGATATAATTCCTTCGTCTGTGAATGTGATGTGTGCGCGCGCGCGTGTGTGTGTGTGTTTTTTTTTTTTTTCAGAAATCAATCAGCTGGATGATTTTACAAGTACTGTGATTTTGAATATGTATGTATTAAATATGTTGATTATGTCGAAATTTTGCAGAGGTTCCGGTGGAATACTCTCTGCAGCCATTAAAGCCCACCGAAGAAATTGAGGTTTGAATTTCAGTCCCTCAACTTTTTACACTACGAAAAAAACTAATTTGTAGGGTTTATCTTCTGGTTATTACTTTTGAGTCTTGTCACACTACTTTCAAATTGTACCTCAATTTATTACACTACTTCAATTGTTACTCTTTCTGTACTTTACGGTCGAATTAGATATCTGTTTTGCATGTTCATGTGAGTCTAGACTCTGAAGAAAGCATGAAGGAATACAATATTAGGCTTTGTCTTTTGAACTAGTTTTCTTGGTCCTGTGCGAATATCGTTGACCTAAATATCGTAAAATTTGGTCCAAAATAGACCAAATTTTTTGTACTGTACAGAAATTGAGGTACCGATTTTTTTATACTTTACTTCAAATTGTGCAACAAAAGCAGGGAAGACGAAAAAGAACTAATCCGTAGCGTTTGTTTATCTTGATCTGGTTGTTATTCTTGGTACTCGGTGAGTTTCTTTGGTTTAATGATGTCTAAACATGTATTGTGAGTGAGTTGAAAGTAAGAAAACGTTAGAATATGGTCGAATCAGATTTCTGGTTTGAAAAGTTTGTGTGGCTCTGAAGTAATTTTCCTTATCAAAGTGCAGAAATTAATTGTCTACCAAATAATACATCTTACACCAAAGTATGTAGAGGATTAAGTTTATACTATATGTTGATTTCGATGAAAATTATACTTTGTGATTCGCTGTTTTATGTGTACACAGCCTTCTCTTTGAAGTAACATAACATGTTTTGTGTATCTCTGTTTATATCAATTTCAACACGACATTTAATTTCATCTTGTTTTGTTACCATCTCAGGATCAAGTAACAGCTATGCACGACGAATCTTTGAAATGCATTACTGGTCGATCTGCAGAGCTTGTGGTACAGCATCAGATGCAAGCCGAAGCACCAAATTCAATTGTACCTACATCAAAATTGCAACCAGAGAATGGGAACAATCTGTGTCTTACAGAAAACAACATGCAGAATTCTCCAGACCCAAAACCTTTAGCCGCCGCCATGCCTACACAGAAAAATCCTTCCGATGGGTACAACTGGCGCAAGTACGGTCAGAAGCAAGTGAAGAGCCCGGAAGGTTCTAGAAGCTACTATAGATGCACATTCTCCGATTGTTGTGCAAAGAAGATCGAGTGCTCCGATCGCTCTAACCGTTTGATAGAAACTGTTTATAGAAGCCACCACAATCACGATCCTCCCCAAAAAATGAATTGCACTAGAGAAAATCGACCCTCATTAGCAATTGTGCCATCTACTCCATCGAAAGAATCTTTACCATCTACTCCTTTAAAAGAATCTTTGCCATCTACTCCATTAAAAGAATCTTTGCCATCTATTCCATTAAAAGAATCTTTGCCACCTACTCCATCGAAAGAATCTTTGCCACCTATTCCATCGAAAGAAGCTTTGTCAGGTGCTCATGATGTGCCTGAAATTAAACAGCAGGAGTCGAGTGATTCTGATCAGACCACGGAAACTAATGCAAAGGAGGAATATGCTGATGGGTCTGAAAGTAGGAAAAGGTACTTTTCGATAGTTATAGTGATGGTAAAAAAAATTTCTTCGTATTATGAGTGACAGTTGCCATACAAAATTGATTCCTCTTTTTTCATCTCTGCAAATTACCAGGCAAAAGAGCAATTCCGCAGATGTACTGGAGTCCCTTCCTAAACCCGGAAAGAAATCTAAATATGTCGTTCATGCAGCTGTTGATGTGGGAATATCAGGAGATGGGTACAGGTGGCGCAAGTACGGACAGAAAATGGTGAAGGGGAATCCACATCCAAGGTAAAACTCCGAATCTTTTAGTGTCACACAGGGGGGGAAATCGGACGGATCTGATTGGAATTAGCACTTTCTGAAAAGATCTGATTTTTTTTTCGAAAGTGAAGCTGGAATCCAATTTTGTTTAAAAAACAATTGGAACAATTGAAAATCGGAATTTCAGAAATTAGAATAAAAAACTCTTGTTCCAATTATCGGAAATTTTCGGATATGAATCGGCGGAATTCGTAAAATTCCAATTTTAGTAACCTGAAATGTAAAATGGATAATAATTTTGATATTTTAGGCGTAATTTTAGGAAAAAAAAAATAGAAATTTTCGGAAATTAAAACCGGACCGAAAATCAGAATCTCCCATTTATATTCTAATTTCAATAAAAAAAATTGGGAAATCGGAATTTCAAAATTTGGAATGAAAAATATCGTTCCAAAATCGGAATATTTTGGGTCTGAATTGGCGAAATTGGAAATTCGTTCCAGTTTACACCCCTAATTTTACACTTCAATGCTAACTCCTCACAAGGCCCGGCTTTACTTTTTCTAGGAGCCACAAAAAACCCGAATCGTTTAATCTTCATCATGTGGTTGTCATTTCATACATCTCTAAATCTTTCCCTTTATACCAGCTGCTCCATCAGTAAACCTAAATGTTCTTTAAACAATTTAATGCGTAGCAGTCTACATTTACATATGGTTCTATCAAGAAAACTTAATATTGGTAGGATATCACACTTTTCCTTGATTAAGGTTCATGTTCGAACAAGGAAGGATTGTGAAATAGATGTGACACCCCCCTTGATTAGGCTAAGCTGATTTTGGTTTTAATCGCCTTTATCTATGAATTATCAGGAATTACTACAGATGCACATCAGCTGGATGTCCCGTAAGGAAGCACATCGAAAGTGCAGTGGACAACGCAAACGCTGTTGTAATAACGTACAAGGGAATGCACGACCACGAAACACCTGTACCAAGAAAGCGTCATTCCCCGAAAAGTGCTACTACTCATTCCCCAAGAAGTGCTACTCATTGGCCAAAAAGTGCTACTGCAAATGCTGCTTCTGCAAATGCTGCTTCTTCTCCTCCAGTTCCATTGGACGATTTGCAAAACAAAACGAACCCTCATACTACGAGTCGAACACAATGGTCGGTGAGCAAAGAAGGCGAATTGACGGGCGAAGCGATGAATGTGGCTGGGGAGAAAGAATCGGGATCTGCAAGAACGCTTTTGAGTGTTGGGTTCGAAATCAAGCCTTGCTGAAAATCTAAGCACTGAAGAAAAGTGGGGGGTCACGCAACTATGGTGTGCAGTTCCGTAATCGAATTTATCGTATAATAACTTATTTGATTTGATTTTTATCTTTCTTAGCTGTAGATTAGTATTGGGATAGTGTGGTAATTTGTAATGCAGAACTGAGTAATAAAGATAGGTTGGTTGTAACTTGTAAGAAATATCATGTAATATTTGCAGCAGTGATTTATAGGAGTGATTTATGTAAATTATTGTGGATCTATAGCATATTGATTTGTGCCCACTGTATTTTCCTTTTAAATACAGTAGATAAGAACAACTGTATGTCGTCATACTGTAGTTTATGTCGGGATGTCTGCCCTTATCATCGTTTTATCTAAGCTCTGAAGCTACAAAAACGCCACTTTTCTCAGCTCAAATAATAATAATAATAATAATAATAATAATAATAATAATAATAATATAGTCCACGACGCCAGTCACAATATTTTTTTTAAAAAAATTTATAATAATTATTTAAACTGAGGGGGGCGTCTTTTTTGTAAGGTCAAAGATCTGAAAACTAACGGAGAGGGCCACATTGAGACAACTTTTCAAGTACATGCGGAAAAATCGATGCAATCGAGAGTAGAAGGGGGTAAAATGATATCGAGTCAAAGTGCAAGGGGAAAGTATTATCCAAAAAAAATAATTAGAATTGAGCAACTCCAATGGGAGTATCAGATGGATAATCAAATCCATAAACCACCTTTTTTATATTTCAAAATTAAAATTTTCCACTTCAATGGGAGTATCAAAATGGGTAAGTATTTTGATATTCTACCTCTTTGAATGTAAAAATACATTCCGAAAATTGAGTTATAAAAAATAACTACCTAAACATCCAATCACAAAATGACACGTGGCAATTACAAATAAAACCACTAAAAAACTTCCAATTGATTATTGATTTAGATAACCATGGTTGGAGTAGATAAATTATAAATGGATATTAAAATATTAACTTAATCACCAAATGAATATTTGATAATCCAATTTTGATGTTTAGCATTGGAGTTGCTCTTATAGAGTAAATTATTGGCACCCCATAAGGTAATGTCAAATTACGAAAACCCCCCTTATGTTTGGGTAATTACAACCATCCCATTAACTATGAATCTTCTTACACGTCCACCCTTATGACACTCTTATGTTGTCAAATTCAACATAGAAGGTGTTTGGCTAAGCTTATAAGATGTTAAAATGAGCTTATAAGATGTTTTAGAGCTTATAAGCTCTTCCAAAGTGTTTGGTAATTTTTTTAAAAAATATCTTAATTTTTTTAAAAATAAGCTGTTGGAGAGCAAATAAGATCTTTTTAAATAAGTACCTATCCCCCACCTTTTTATTTAAGATCTTATAATGAGTAAAAATAGGAAATAAACTTATTATCCAAACACTCTAAAAATTAATCCTAAAAATAAGATGTAACAGCTTATCAGCTCTTAAAACATCTTATCAGATGTAAGAGCTTATCAGTTGTTTAAAATAAGCTTAGCCAAACACCCTCATAATCTCCTAGATTCCGTACAATGCTCTGTAATTTGTTCTCGTTTTTGTCAAAATATGCAGTTTCTGCACCTCAATTTGATATTTACAAGTCAAGAGAGACACATCTTATGATAATCTTGTTTCAAAATATGGAGCTCGAATGGGTAAAATGGGTACAAACTGGAAAATATTTCATATAATTTAGAAAATTACACTAAATTTAACAATGCAAGAGTGACCATGTGAAAAAAAAATTATAATTTGAGACGTAATTGTAATTACCCAAATATGATGGATATTTTCGTAATTTGACTTTTGTGTTTATAGATAACCTTAAGGGTAAATTCCACTTTACCCCCTCGTACTCTGCCCGAGAGTCACTTAACCCCCTCGTACTCTCAATTGTCCCGATGTACCCCCCTGTACTCTTACAATTTCCCAATACAGTCCTCTCCGTCAATTTTTTTCAATTTTGACTGACGCCGTTTGGTCAACTGTAAATTACAAAATTGCCACTACCTAAACATCGTTTCTTCTCCCGTGAACATTATGGTTTCTTCTTCTTCCATAAGATATCCCCAAATTGAATTAACCCTAGAAAACAACAGCAATTTTATTCACAATTTTTGATTGTTTTCTTCCATAATAAATTGATAGAAAACGGTTCACCACAGGCAAAAAATATGGGCTCAAGCAACGATAGAAGAAGTTGGAGTGGCGGAAACTCATCCCCAAATTTTAATGAAAATAGAGTCAATTGCTATTGTGGTAAGTTTTCTAAGGTTCAGTATGCTTTTACAGAGAATAATGCGGGTCGGAGATTTCTTGGATGCTGCAATTATCAGGTGAATTATTGTGACTTTTTCGAATGGGTCGATCCCCCTATGTGTGATCGAGCTCGAAGTTTTACTTCTATTGTCAACAAAAGAATGTCGGAGGTTAAAAAAAAAGACGAAGAGCTTCAGCAAAGGGTTGAACACTTTTCACGTGCAAATGAAGAATTGAAGGCAAAAAGTTTGCAATTGAAACTGAAACTAAAGAGCTTGAACAAAGAATTCACCATTTCGAAGCAAAGAATGCATCAATAAAAAAATTCTGAGGGAATACAATTGTGTTTTGTCTTATAATATTTGCATTTTTTCTGTCGTGGACTACTACTCGAAGAAATTTTAGCAGTAGAAAATTTATGCTTCTACAGTAAAGTAATTTGTGTGTATTTTGGGATGTATGTAACCTAATGGTGTCATTTTGTCAGGTGAAATCTAGGGACTAGAATGTTTTTACAAATGTTGTTATTTTGTTAACTATTTGTATCGTTTTGTGGGCATTATTTGAGAATAGCTCAGAGGCAGTGTTGATTATCCCAGCAAAGTGCACACTTTATAACATGGATGAAAGTTGTTTAAATTTGTGTATTTTGTTATTGTCTTTTCTAGTTTTTTCAATGATGGTATCTTGTCAGAGAATGAGATAAACCAAGAGTATTAACAACACTCATTTATCTTGAATGTTAAGACAAAAAATGATCTGATCAATACCAAATCAGTTTCATTACAATAAGTTTTCAAATTTCATAAAAAGGGATATGCAAATCAGTTTCAACACATTATGCATGAACTGAATAATACATCAAAAATTCCAAATTTTGGATAAATTCAAAAGCAACTGATCAAAAAGAAAATTAAACTATACTCAAAATATAAAACAAGGTAATTAGACAGGTTTATCGATTGGGCCTTGACTGAAGAGTATGTCGCCGAATCTTGTTGATTTCTTTATTACCTGAACAAAGAAGCAAAATTATGTTATGTAATCACCAACTAAATAGAAGTGGTCTAACTTATATGCACATTATATTACCTTAGGGTGAATTCTACCAATTGAGCACTGATTGCCACCAACTGGACCAAAACCCACTCCACTTGAGCTCTGACTCCCACCAACTGTACCAAGAACCACATCACTTGAGTTCTGACTCCCACCAACTGCACCAAGAACCACACCACTTGACCTCTGATTCCCACCAATTGCACCAAGTACCACACCACTTGAATTCTCAGCCACATCTTTTTGAATCACAGTAGTCTTGTTGCTCTTTCTAACTGTAGTTCTTCTCGATATATGAGCTCCAGTAAAAGTCTCACCATTTGGTCCAATTGGATTCCCATGACCTGTAATACGAGTTTTTCTTCCACCTCTAGCACCAAATCTGCCTCCATTAGTTCCACCTCTAGCACTAAATCTGCCTCCATTAGCTCCACCTCTAGCACCAAATCTGCCTTCACTAGTGTTTGTGTTTCCAGTTGGATTAATGCTATTGTTCTGATAAAATATAAAATTAATAAGTAATTATAAAGGAGGAACTTATAAAATTGATAAATAAAGTATTAAGCAAAAGTTAAATTAAAAAACATACCGGTCGTGAAGATTCTACTGCATTGTCACTTGTCTTTTTTCTTTTTGGCTTAGGAGGATTCTTACATGACAACTTGTTGTGACCAAATTCATTGCAGTTGCTACAAGTCATTCTTCTTCCAACTTTGCTAATAGCGCCAGATGCTCTTGGTTCATCAGGGGCTCTCACTCTTGATTTTTTTGGCCTTCCAGGTGCTATTCTCATCATAGGAGGTTGAAGTTTCTCACCTTCTGCCTCAATCCACTCTTGCTTATCAGGAATTGGGTAGATCATGTCCTCCCAGACATTTATATATGTTTGTTTCCAATAATACTTATGCACAAAGTCCTCAACTTTCCTCTTATCATACATTATTGCTGCACATGCATGTATACATGGTATTCCAGTCAAGTCAAACTTTCTACATGAACATTGTCTTTTGTGAAGATCAACTATGAAAGTTCTGAGCTCTAGACATATCTCAAAGATCCAATTCCCTGCCAATCTAACTTCACAACTTGTTGATTTAAATTTAGCCTTCTCAATCTTCTTCATTACATTTGGACATATATCACTGTAGAATTTTCTTAGGTCATCTTTTTGCTCTTGGAATCTGCTCATCATCTGATGTCTAATGTGCTCCATCATGGTGATAATTGGCTTGTCTCTAGCCTCGTTAATCCAATTATTGAAAGACTCAGAAATGTTGTTAGATACTAGATTACACTTTGCATTGGTAGAAAAGTGTGATCTGGCCCAAGTTGAAGGATGCTCTTTCATCAACCAATGATATGCATCAACATTTAGTGTCTTCAAATCATCCATGTGTTTTTTGAACTCTTCCTTTGTGTATGCATATGCAGCACCCCACACTAAGTTTTTCAGATCATCTCCCTTGTACACATTTTTGAAATTTGCATATAAATGTCTCATGCAATATCTGTGTTCAGCTCCAGGCATAATATTCTTGAAACTCTGTGTTAAACCCTGCAATTAAAAGATATAAATTTAATGAAAAACGTACATATAAATTAATAATAAAACTGAAGAAACGAAGTCAATTTTCATACCTTTTGTCTATCTGAGATATAAATCCACCCCATTTCTTCAGGCCTGCCAATTACATCACCAAGCAAATTCAAGAACCAAGTCCATGAATCCTTATTTTCAGCTTCTACTACTGCCATGGCCAATGGAAACATTTTTTTATTTCCATCTCTTGCTACTGCATGCATCATTTGTCCACCATATGGTCCTTTTAAGTGACATGCATCAAGGCCTATCACAGGCCTACATCCAGCTTTGAAACCTTTGATCTGTGCTGCGTACTGTACAAATACCCTTTGGAAGAAAGGTGCACAACCTGGCCAGGATCTCTCAACTGTAACACATGCTACACTACCAGGATTTGTCTTTAAAATCATTCCACAATAGTCTCTAATCCTAGTGAAATCTTCTTTATGATTTCCCTCAATTGCTTCAAGAGCTTTGGACTTGGCTCTGTAGACCTGTTTTTTTGACACAAAAACACTTTGCTCTCTCCTCACAGTCTTTCTGATTGCATTTACGTCCCATTTGGGATCATCTATGAGTTTGTTAAGGTACTTATTTGCTAACCAAGTACTTGTAACACTTTTTAACTCATATCTTCTTGGATGAATGCAATGCTCAATCAAACTCTTGATTTGAAATGTCCTGGATCCTTGCATTTTAGATGCATGGACTCTAAATGGGCATTCATCAACGCACTTAACAGTAACTCTATCACCTTCATTCTTCAGAAATTCAAAATTATATCCTTTTTTGATAGAGTGTTCTCTTAGAGCTTTTCTGAATGTAGCAGCATCTTTAAAAATCATCCCCAGCCTTAATTTAGGATTTTTCATATCCTCAACTTCATCAAAAATAGGATTGACATTATCTCTTTCTTCATCAGAGTTCAATGGAGTGTCATTCATTTCACTATCACAATCACTATGATGTATGAGTTCATCATGCAGACTTGCGTTGGTTTCTATATTTTCAGAACTGGACTCTGATAAATCACTATCCTCTGCTAAGCCCTCATTATGAGTTGACATCTCACCATCTTCATCAACAAAAGTTTGTTTACCTTTATACCTCTCAAAGCCGATCTCAATATCTTTCAAGACATCAAACTCTATCTCATACTCTAAATATAGATGTATCGCATCGATATCCTTGTACTCCGCGAACATAACCACCATATCAGAATACGAGCAAACCATTCTCAACTCGTCACCCAAAACACACGTTGGCGAGACATAACACACATTCACCTTTTCTGTGAAGCCCAACCCTTGAATCCAATTTCTCAAATCAGCCATGCTAAACTTTTCTGGATCTACATCATCAAATTGCTTCGATTTACCCCCCATATATAGGATAGGAGTTTCCATCCCAAAAGTACCTCCATAGTGCAACACGATTGTGTGCATGACTGTAAAATTAAAGGAGAAGGAGTTTAAAAAAATAAGTAAAAGGCAAGCACCACCACTACTGAAAATCCATTGAGAGAACACAAAATACCTGATTTCTTTGAACCGGGCAAAATCGATCACTTTTTGGATCTTGATTTTTGATGAGTTAGGGCTTCAATTTGGGGATATCTTGAGGGGGAGTGGTGGAAGAAGAAGAAACCGTAATGTTCACGGGAGAAGAAACGTTGTTTAGGTAGTGGCAATTTTGTAATTTACAGTTGACCAAACGGCGTCAGTCAAAATTGAAAAAAATTGACGGAGAGGACTGTAGTGGGAAATTGTATGAGTACAAGGGGGTACATCGGAACAATTGAGAGTACGAGGGGGTTAAGTGACTCTCGGGCAGAGTACGAGGGGGTAAAGTGGAATTTACCCTAACCTTAATTTATCCTAGTCTCCTAGAGTTTATATAGAATACAACTTTGGTCACATGCCAATATGGCATGACTCATTAGTCCACATAGAAGTAAAGGATGTACCCTTTTAGATAATTTAATAACAAAAAATAATTAAAAAATAGTAAAAAGTATTAAGTGATGTCATCTCTACCCCGGCCCCACACCCCCGCAAACCCCTTTACACCCTCTCACACAGTCAAGAAGACGTGTTCACACCGTATCTATCTACTATAAATATCACGAGTCTGGCACTTTTCGCAATGGCCGCCATTAGAGTAGCTTTCAATTCCCTCAATTTGCTCGCTCCGACTTCATCTTCTTGCGCCTGCCACTCGGTTTTAACGAAATTGCAATTTCGGCCCATCTGGGGAGTTTCCTTGACGTTCGCACCCCTCTCTTCTAGAACATCAAATCGAATGGCTCATTCCATTGCTCGCGCCACCCTCGGCCTCACTCAAGCCAACAAGATCGACGCCCAAAAGGTATTGTTTATTTATCAAGATTGATTGAATTTTTTTTTTTATTATATCAAGCTTCGTGTATGTATGGTGTTTGTTGTATTGCCTCATTGAAAAACCATCCATTACTGTAGTATCACAGATTCATTCTTCTGTGATTTAACTTAATATTGCAAGAATAAATTTCCGTGTTACAATCTGTGCAAGAATCTGAACTTTAATTTGTTTGATTGTCTCGTCTTATTCGACCGTACATTAGTTCGTATGTGATTGTATGTGAGCTTAATAATTCTTTCGAAAAATAATGTGTAGATCTCATTTACTGCGAAAGAGATCGATTTGGTTCAATGGAAAGGAGACATACTTGCCGTCGGCGTAACAGAAAAGGACATGGTGAAAGACGAGAATTCAAAGTTCAAGAATTCGATCCTTCAAAAACTAGATTTACAGCTAGGTGGATTGCTATCCGAAGCCTCGTCTGAAGAGGATTTCACCGGAAAATCCGGACAATCAACTGTTCTTAGGTTTCCCGGTATTGGTTCGAAAAGGGTTGGTTTGATCGGTCTCGGTTCAACTTCGTCGCCAACTTTGACTTATCGCAGTCTCGGTGAAGCTGTGGCTGCAGTAGCAAAATCTGCTCGTGCAAGTAATGTTGCCATTGCACTTGCTTCTTCTGAAGGAATCTCTGCAGAATCGAAGCTGAGCACTGCTTCAGCCATAGCTACTGGTACATATTATTGAATTATAGATGAAATATATTTTTTGTTGCATAAATAAGCGGAATTGAACCAACATTGAGTTTTGAATATTATAGGAACTGTGTTGGGGACTTTTGATGATACTAGGTTCAAGTCGGAATCGAAACAGTCAGCTCTTAAATCGGTGGATATTATTGGTCTTGGTAGTGGGCCCCAGATAGAGAAGAAACTGAAATATGCAGCAGATGTTTGTTCCGGGATTATCTTCGGGAAACAGCTTGTAAATGCTCCGGCTAATGTACTCACCCCTGGTTCGTATTTTCTGCGTTACTTTTTATTACATTTGGTATTAATTTGGCCCTTTTATTATGTGAACCATTTTTCGACTTTTTCAATTTTTGTTTCCGATGAATTTTCAGGAGTACTTGCAGCAGAAGCCTCGAGAATTGCTTCTGAACACAGTGATGTTTTGTCTGCAAAAATATTGGATGTGGAGCAGTGCAAAGAATTGAAAATGGGTTCGTATTTGGCTGTCGCCGAAGCGTCTGCCAATCCTGCACACTTCATTCATTTGTGTTACAAGCCTTCTAATGGAGAAATCAAGAAAAAGATTGCCTTGGTCGGAAAAGGCTTGACTTTCGACAGGTAAACGCCTTTGTATATGTTTTGCAAATGCAATTTTTTAGATATTTCGGTACCGATATTTTGATCGTGCGCGTTTTGCATATGATGCAGTGGTGGCTACAATATAAAGACAGGAGCAGGCTGTTCTATTGAACTCATGAAATTCGATATGGGTGGCTCAGCAGCGGTGTTGGGTGCAGCTAAAGCTCTTGGTCAGATAAAACCGTCTGGAGTAGAGGTGAAATATTTTTAATTTTATATATTATATTATGTTTCTCGACTGGATTCGAGGCGGGTTATAAGAAATAATGATAACTCGTGATGCATACGCAGGTTCACTTTATTGTTGCGGCTTGTGAGAATATGATCAGTGGAACAGGTATGCGACCTGGAGATGTCGTCACAGCTTCTAACGGGAAAACCATTGAGGTAATTTTGTTATTTTGGTTCTTCATTATTTTGTTATGTTAACTGTTTCCGAAATCACATTCGATCGATTGAATTTTCTTATAGCATGCCGTTGGAATTAATACATTTATAGCAATGATTCTCATCTTATTGTATCGAATGATGCATCCACTTATTGCCTTTTGTTTTTTTTTTCTTAATGTACTTTTTTTTGTCGGTGTTAGGTGAACAATACCGATGCTGAAGGCAGACTTACACTTGCAGATGCATTGGTATATGCCTGTAATCAAGGTGTAGAGAAGGTACGCTAACATCCATTTTATTCGAATTTCAATCTTTGTGATTATTGGGATTGAAAATTTGGATGTTCGATATGGAAACAGCTAGTAAAACCCTTAAACAAGTTAACTTTCGCATTGGAATTTTTTATTGATCACTAGTTTTCCAATTTGCCCTTATCTTTTAGCACGTGTGACAAAACGTTAAACGGCACTTAAATATAAAACGGAGGGAGTATTTCTGGACTTTTGAAGTAGTTTCTAGAGCTCTTATTTTGAGGTTTGAGTGTATAACAGCATTTTTTATATCTAATGTGTAGATCGTGGATTTGGCTACACTGACTGGAGCGTGTGTTGTTGCTCTCGGACCCTCTATTGCTGGTAATTGATTACTACCGAAATCATCTTCTTGATTTAATTGCTATTTAAAAGCAACGAATAAATTTACAATACAAAATAAACTACATATATGTAAATTCAATGGAGATAGCATTGTTGCTTAAGTATCTACTAATTACTTTCTTTAAAAAAAATAATAACAGGTGTTTTCACACCGAGTGATGACCTGGCGAAAGAGGTAATCGGAGCTTCAGAGATAAGCGGTGAAAAGCTTTGGAGGATGCCAATGGAGGATAGTTATTGGGATTCGATGAAATCGGGAGTGGCTGATATGGTCAATACTGGTGGCCGTCAAGGTGGCGCAATCACCGCAGCTCTTTTCTTGAAACAGGTAAATAAATAAAATTAAATAAAAACGGAAAAAAAATCAGAAGATTTTGATTTAGAAAAATAATGGTACAAGTTAAAAGTAAGACAAAAATATTTAACAGAAAAAATTGTTTGTTTGCAGTTTGTGGATGAGAAGGTGCAGTGGATGCATATCGACATGGCAGGCCCGGTTTGGAACGACAAGAAGAAAAATGCAACGGGTTTCGGTATTTCTACATTGGTCGAATGGGTGCTGAAGAACTCTTCTTAAATTCGCGTTTTTGAATTTAAAATCGATGAAATATCGAACATTCTATGCACTTGTCTAAACTAAACTAAAAATTTCATATAATTTGATGCCATTTATGTGGAATTGCGCAGGAAATAATTTATTCTATGAATAAGAGTGCAATAGTATTTTATTGAACTTAGTTATATTATTACTTCATTCTCTCTTTATGATTTTATGTTTGGGTTTAGTCCTCAGATTGGCAAAGGTTTGCTTGCTTGTATTTTTCATTTTAAAATATAAATATTAAAAATTCTCACTATTTGATTCGGAGTTCGAAAATTGGTAAATTACAACCGTCCCCTGAAGCAAGGTTTATTTATGATGAAAACCCCTCAATTTTTCATAATTACACCCACACTCTGCAATTGGTAGTTTCTTGGATTAACACCATTTTCTAGGGTGGTGGGTGTAAGTAATCTACAAACTGCAAGGGGCTGAATGTAATTTTGAAAAGAAGAAAGGATGTAGTATTTATTTATTACAGAGAGTCATTCTTCCCCAATTTGAGGTCTTTACAGTTTACATCTCCACAACCAAAAGAAACATCCAATAGGCAATAATTTTTAGCTAAATTTTAATATTTAATAATTTTTAAAATATTTAATCATCAGTTAAAGGGTTTTGCTATTTGCAGCGGGACTTTTACTGAAATTGGCTTATTTGCAGCGGTACCTTTTTCATTTAATTTTTTTTTTTCAATTTCTCTCTCCTATTCCAAACACTCTCTAGAAATTCGAATTTCGTAAAAAAAATTGAATCTCCCGTTTTATGGAGCACGGAAACTCGAAGAAAATTCAAGTTTCCGTGCTCTGCGGAACGGGAGATTCAAATTTTCGTGCTCCAGAAAACGGGACCTTCAAACTGTTTTTTGAATTTTTATTTTCGGAAAAAAAATAAAAAAAATTTAGATTTGAATCTCCCGTGTTCTACAGAACGGGAACTTAAAGTTTTAATATTTTTTTTTTTTAATATTTTTTTCTAAATATCGAATTTTCTAATTATTTGAGGAACATGATAACACATATTCGGATTATTGTACTCGTTTGTACATTCATCATCAAATTTTTCGTCAAAATCACCATCATCACCCTACCAAATTATAAAAATTAATAATATAAAGGAATATAAAAATTAATAATACAAAAAAAAAAAAAAAAAAATAGAAAACCGAAACCCAAGTTCCCGTGCTGTACAGCACGGGTAACTCAATCTTTTCCCCTTTTTTGATACTCCTCGTGCTGTATAGCACGATTAAACCAGCTTTTAATTTTTTATTTTTATTTTTCTTTCTTTTTACCATATAAAAGTTATTCGGATCAGCCATTGAAGAAATCGTTGTTCGTTTTTGAATTTGTCGAACGAGCTTCAAATTCTAAGTTTTCGATTTTTTTTAGTTGAGAGCGTTTCGGTTTTTTTAGAAAGTTAGAAAATTGACAAATGAGACTACCGCTGCAAATAAGTCAATTTCAGTAAAAGTCCCGCTACAATTAGCATTTCAGTTAAATATATTATAAATAATGCACCAGTAATGATAAAATATAGACAAATCTGCTGAATTACAACAATTTTTACAAGGAATTCCAATTGACTTGATAAACCCTTTGGTCAAATTAAGGTTCCTACAGGCGCGTGTGACTCACGCGCCGTTTAGACATAGCAAAGGACTCCATTAGATTATTAATTTTTTTTTTCTTTCTCAATTTGATTCAGCTCCCACTCCGCCTCTGATTTCTCTGTAGACTTTAATTCCATTCCCCATTTCGTTTCTTTTCTTAAATCCAAAAATCAAACAAAAAAAAAATGAACTGAGGGTGACAAAACTAAAGGAAGATGAGTGTTTCTTTGACTGTAATGAACTTTAATCTTCTTGAAGATCAAACAGAAGACAGCCCCAATTCATGGGACAAGAGGAAGGATTTGTGCGCCACTGTCATCACTAGTTATTCTCCTATCATTCTCTGCACACAGCAAGGTTTGTCTTTACTATGTGTAAATGTGTGTTTTTTTGCAATTCTCGATTTTGTTTTTTATTGCCGTTTCTTGAAATTGGGTGATCTGGGCTTTCTTGGATTTACATTTCAGCAGATGGGTTTTTGGAAAGTTGTGATCTTTTTGCTGATTGAAGTGATCTTGATTTTGTTTTGATTTTTGATGGGTTAGGGGTGAAGTCACAGTTGGACTATCTGCAGCAATGTTTGCCAGGTAAAAGTTCTTGATTATTTTCATTGTCTATTTATTTAGTTGCTCTTATGTATTTGTTGGAATATAAAACAAAACCTTGATTGAGTGTTTATAAATGCATTCGGTTGTGCATCTATTGCTTAGTAAAAGATACTGAGATATTCGAAATATCTATTGCTTAGTAAAAGATTTCGAACGATCATATTTATCACTTGTCTTACATGTTTGAGTTGAATCTCAAGTTGTTATGTGAATCGAGTTTATTATTCTATATGCTGCTCTAACTATTTCCAACATAGAAAGATGGATAGAGTAGCACCGAACAGTATCAATTTAGATAACTCTAACGAGGCGTAGTGTGAATGGAACGAGTATAATACGATTTACATGGAGGTGGTGGTTCGATTGGGTAGTGCAGAAATAAGTGGCTAAAATCCTGTTTGACTTGTTATTTATGTCGGACGAGAAGGTTACGGACAGTTCGGGGTTTCGAGGAAAGGATCCGAAGATGCTTCTGATCAGCACTGCACAATCTTTTACGACAAAGAAAAGGTGAAAACTTTAATATACTTATTCGTTAAAAGATATTATTTTGAATTTCTCGTCGTTTCCATATGATTAGCTCGTAAAATAATCGCCTCAATAAGAGTTCCATTTTATTTATGTAGGTTGAAGTTCTAGAAGGTGGAACCTTTTGGTTGTCTGAATCACCTTCGGTTCCTGGAAGCATTTCTTGGGGTTCTTCGAATCCATCTATCTCTACGTGGGCTATATATCCTTTATCTCATATATATATATATATATAGACACACACATATATTGTATAATCTTATTAGTCTTTTGTTTGGTTGCCAAAATAAGATTTTGATTATCTTGCCAACCAAACGAGGCCTTAAACACGTTTGATTAGTTAGTGGAAGCGTTGCTTGCCTTGACTAATTAATTGTGTACACATTCCAGCTAAAAGGCGTTGAGCCACCGGGTTTTTCGTTTCAGATTGTAAATACGAACATGGACGAAATTAGCCCTCGTGCTCGAAGGCGCGGCGCTTTGCTGACGTGGCAGCACATCGCTTCCTTGCCCCCCAACTTGCCCGTTTTGTACTGTGGAGGATTTAACACGCAGAAGGAGTCAACTACAGGTCGTTTTCTTCTTGGAAGATCGAGGTATTACTTTCACCTTCAAGGCCAGTAACGTAATTTATCCCCAATCAAACTAAATCAATGTAGCTCTTTGTAATTTTTTTTAAATTCTTTTTTAAAATTTCTACTTTGTTTTATTACAGGGAGCATGGTGTTGTAGGTGATATGAGGGATGCTTGGCCGAATGCTCGTGTGAGAAAAAACGTATCTTTGATTCGCACTTACCATGGATTCAAAGGTAATACCTAATTATATCTTTTGCAAATGCTGTGATTGGATCAAGGAAAATAGTGAATCGAGAACATTGATTTTTTTTCTTGTTAGGTAACGTAATTTACGCATTTTCCTTAGGAAGAACCGAACGTACTAGAGATTTTCAATTTTTTTTTGTTTTCGTACGGTTTTGAATTTTCATTATCGTCGTTTAAAAAACCCGTGATCCAAACAGAGCCTTGATTTGCGTCTTTATTACAGGTGATAAGCAGGGGGCTAAAGAATTCTTGAAGTTGGTATTTCGAGCGCTTTGTCTATGCTGGGACAGGCAAACACAGGATCTGCATGTCGACTGGATTCTGTTCAGGGGGAGGTCTTTGGTACCCGTCTCGTGTGAGGTGGTTAGTGACAATGTTGACGGATTTTACCCTTCGTCTCATTATCCTATTTTTGCCGAATTTATGCTCCCTCGCTCCGTCAGATTCACAGAGACACCACCTACTCAAGCTTGAAATTAAACCCTCTTTTTTTTTTTTTTGCACGCTTCGATTTCGTTGATTTCGTGATTCTATTTGCCACTTATAAACAGAAATGCTGGGGATGTTTATGCAATATTTTACTGGGGTTCTTTTCTTTTTTTCGAAGTTCCGGTTCTTGATTTAATCTCGATACTGGATTATGTGAAGATTATATGTATTAATATGTAAATATGGTTTTTTTTTATGTGAAAAAATATGTAAATAAGCTTATTAATAGTCAATAGATAGATATATAACAATCCATTCTCAAACAAAATTTCTATTTTACTTAACCTCTCAACCATTTTGCTTACTATTTTCCTAGGATGATCCAAACAGAACCTAATGAATCTTGATCAATTGGTTGCAAAATAGAATCATGGGCATCAAATTCCACTAACGTTCGATTCATCGCCGTAGGTTCCGTTTCGCCATGGCCACAACGAGCTCAAATCGATGTTTTTCTTGATTATAAAGTTTTCAACTTTACATTCGACACTCGGCAATACTATACTTTACTTCTAGTGCAAAATAATTATTTTGTATGCATCAATCATATTACACTAAAAATTAAATAATGACTGGGACTTCGGTAGTTCATAGTATATACATTTTAGGAAAATAATAAGTTATTACAAACTACTAAAGAATAGGACAAATTTGCAATTTTTTTTTTATGGGTGGAATGAGTACAAAGAAAGTTGTAGCTTCCCATAAAAAGTAGAAATTGTACTGTCACAAAGAGTGAAAGGACCTGCCTGCTAATTACTCGGGAAAGCAAAAAGTCAACATTTGATCTTCCATAGGGGTCAAAGGTCAATTTACCCAAAAATAAATATTAAAAAAACAAAAAAAAAAAAAAAAAAAAAGGAACCCACAACAACCTGTCCCTATCTAAAGGCAAAACTCATATTACAATCAAGAAAATGACAACTGCCTGAAACCCTAATTCCCAAATAGTTTCTAGTCAAGAAATTGGTCCCAATTTTCCCTCCAAAATTGGAATACAAAAAGAAAAACCCTAAATAAATTATTGAGCCCCAAAATCCCACAAATGTATAGTACCATCAGAAGAGCAAGCAGCCACATATCTTTCATCTGCAATTAGGGCATTGCAAATTCCAATTCCCTCTCTAAAACTATACAAATATTGACCATATAATTCTATCTCCCAAACCCTAATTATTCCCCCACCCCATACTACACCAAACCCTCCATTCACACACCCCAACACCTCCCCTTGCGCTCCGGCGGCACCCCTCACGCTAAACCGACACACCTCCGCCAAGTCATCCACCCGGCGCACGGTGGCGCCGCCGCGCACGTCGGCCACCACCGCCGAGGCGTTGGCGGCGTCGAACGATCCCACCACCACTCCCCGCCGGAACTCCTCCTCCGCCAATACTACCCCTTGGTTTTGCAAGTCGAACGCCACCGCCCGGAGGCTTGTGCACGCCAGGGCGGTGGTGCCGCGGCCGGTCACCCGGACGCGGCCGATGAGATCGGTTAATTCGGTTAGTAGGTGCCACCCCATTACCGCCTCCGGATCGGTTAGTGTGCCGCCGACAAACACTAGCTCTTCCGTTTGTCCGTTCCATATGTGAAATGCGTGACCGGGAACACCTATACATACGACAAAAAATAGAGAACATAAAAATTAGATATAACGTTTTATACGATATGGTCGGATGTTGGTTCTTACGTTATATATATACATATATATGTATACAACTTTTTTTCGGAGTTTGCAGAAAACCACCTGCGAAGAGGCCAACCCACCACTGATCGCCGCCGGCAAAATCAACTAGGGCACCGTCGTTCACCACATCGCCCAAATGCGCTCTCCTCAGAGGTGCCGCCCCATCGCCGCCCACCACCGCAGTGTGAATGTCGCCGTCAAGGGTGGCAAACACAAGACGGGAGTCGGACAACACGATCCCCGAGACAGCGCTGGAGAATCGACCGAGGCGGTCGCGGTGCTGCGGGTAGAACGTGGAGATGTGGGCCCCGGTTGAGAGGCGGAAGAGGTGGACCGCCCCATCGGAGAATCCCGCAGCAATGTAGCGGCCGGAGAGCGCCAGACGGCGGCAAGAGAGGCCGTCGTTGTTGTTATTGTTATTGTTATCCGTCGGCACGAAATGTAGGGTGGTGTACGTGTACCTCCGGGACCGGAAATTGCTGGCGGTCCGGTGTCGGTAGATGTACTCCTCCCGCCACGTGGCGCGGATGAGGTCGTCGCCGCCGACGTTCCATATACGTTGCGTGAGGTTCCGCCACAGGAGATCGGAGCGTGATATCGCTTGCCACGTTGTAGAAACCTGTAATTAATTAATTAATTAATTATTTAATTAATTAATCAATAAATAAATATTTCAAGCTAACAAATAATATTCAAGAATTATATATAATTCAGACAAAGTCAAATTGGCAATGCAAGTAAGAAGAAGACAGCCATCATATCTACTGTCACTGTGTGTAACACAGAGAAAGAGAGAGATACACATATACATACAACCACATATATACATACACATGAGAGAGAGAGAGAGAGATTTATAGAGAGAGAAAGTAGGTATGATCAGACTAGTTTTTATTCGACCTATACGATATATAGTATAGGGTGTAAATAGAGTTGTAACGCTGTACTCAACCTCAATTTCTCTCTCTCTTCGATGCAGCTTGCAGCAAAAAAATAAAAAGAACTGACAGCTTTCTCTCTCTAGAAATGTGTTATCGAAAGAGTGATCAGAATGCAGAGAGGGGTGAAGAAGATAAGCCACGGCTGAACAGTAAAAAAAGTACAGATAGATACAGACAACATCATAAAGGAAAACTTTAGTTCATAGCTATCTGAAATCTGACATTTCTTAAAGATTTTTTTTTTCTTTTTTTTTTTTGTGTCTACTTTTTATGTGTATTTACAGATAAATAAAATCCAGAGGATAATGATGTATTATTTTCTTTTTATTGCAAAGAATGGGAAAACTACCAAAGATTCACTTTTTAGATTTTCCAGTGTAAATTTTATTTAAATTTGGTTAAAAAAATTTAAAAATAGAAATGAATCAATTTTCCTTCTGAACTTTGTTCACGCAATTTTCCTAGACTCAAAATATCACACACACACACACACACACAAACAGTAAAGTGTGAAGTTTGTATATTGATGTAATTTTGTCAAAGATAAAAGAAATATCATGAGATAACTAGCTGTGAAGCCTCGTATAATAATATGTAAATATGCAACTGCATGTAATAGTGTGTGTGTGTGTGAGAGAGAGAGAGAGAGAGAGAGAGAGAGAGAGAGAGAGAAGAGAGAGAGAGAGAGAGAGAGAGGGGTAACCTGAAAAATATTGAAAAGAGCATGGGCGGCGGCGAGGCGGCCGAGGGAGAGGGAAGCATCGACGGCGAGTTGGAAAGCGAGAGCTTCAAGAAAAGGCTCCGGCCAAACCTCATTGCTCCACCGAATCCTACTACGTGAAGATGATGGCCCTTGATCAAACTCTCCGCCGGCGGCGCCGCCGCGGGGTCCGGCTTCTTCTTGTTCGGAAGATGAAGATGATGAGGTTGACATTTAAGAGTAATCAAAAGTGTAACGGAAGATTTGGAGACAAAGAACAAACAAACACAAGTATGCAACAAAAAGAGAAGATTGGAAAGAGACACCAAAAATATAAAAATGAAGGGCCCCCAAAATAGGGACGTGTTTGTGTGTGTGTGTGTGTGTGTGTGTTTCCAACTTTCAAGATTATGTAGACCGATGAGCAGAATTTTAATTAATTAAATATTGTTTTCTGTTGTATTTAATTTTAAAAAATGTACTTCAATCAGAATTATTAATTGTAAATTCAGGTTATTTTATTGTTCACATATTTTTTAAAACCTATAAAAATTGCACGTTTGACAAGTCAATGTTTTTTTAAAAGTTTATAGTATTTAATTTAATGAATTTTGTGATGGTTCTAATTAATTTTTTTTAAGTGAGTATAAAATATGAAAAATGTTTAGGAACTTGATTTGAGGGTCAACGGTCAACATAGCTTGCCACTTGGACAATTTTTGATGAAAAGCTGCTTGGACTTTAGTTTTGGCAGAACCCATTTGTTGGGAGAAAAAGAAAATATATATATATATATTATTGGGAATGTCCATGAATTTGTTTTATTTTATAAAATATGGGAATTTATTAAAAATTAATTTAAGTACCCGATTTTTTGCTTGAGAAAAAGCTTTAAAGGCTTATAAGTTATAAATATCATGTAAAATAAGTTTCTTTGTAAAAACAAACATTTTTTTTTAGTTATTGTGTAATATTAGACATCAAAATTTCGAAAAAAAATAAAAAATGAAGTGCAAAATTAATTCTTATTTATGGGCCTTTTTTACCGGAAAAAAGTCGAAATTTTGGATTGCAAAATCGGAAACCAAGATTATAATTTTCGAAAAGAAAACTGTGAAATTTGTAAATTTGGTTTATTTATGCACTCAAGCCTAGTTTGGTTGCTACAATTGGACATGATTAATTAAATAATTGATCTTTTATGATCGTTCTTTTACCAAATAATTTTTCGACCGTTAATTATATAAAAAAAATGTTATCTTGACTTTCATATTCGTGTTTAACCTTCTCAGCTAATCTTATATTGAGAATCAAACGAGAAACTATGATATATGTAATATTCGTGATATCTTTAAACGTAATTTTGGATAAATAATTAAAGTCGGACAGAAATTCAGACTGTAATGTATAGTGTTGCTTCCTATCCTTTTCATTTTTTTTCTTTCTGGAAAACCGAAATTCAAGAAATAAAATTGTAATTGTAAATGAATAATGAATGCAAATTAAAATCATAATAGCAATGAATAATAAATAACGAATAATGAATATTGTTAGTACACAATATGCATATCCATGACAGAAAAAGAAAAAGAAAAAAACACAGCAACTGAACATCTTAAAGTTTCTGAGTTTTTAATATAACATTTATTAATTAATGAGTTGTCTAAAAATTGTGTAGGTGGCACATTAAATCTTGAAAAATCATCATTAATTCATAATTAATTAACACACTCACAGCTCTCTATTTTCTGACTGTAGTTTCGTACTCCTTCCCCTTTTTTTAACTGTGGGTTAAGTTGATGTGCATAAATTATGAACCATTTGTAGATTAACACCTATTTTATAATTTAATTATGGCTAGTTCAGTTAACACTATAAGGTTATATTGATTATATAGTTGGGGCTAGTAATACGTTGGATTGATGAGACTCGTGTTTACTTAAATCCACTACTTGCTCGTTCAGTTAACGCAATAATGTTTTATTGGCTAAATAATGTGTGCTAGTAATACGTTCGGAATTCACTACTTGCCCGTTCAATTAACACTATACGGTTTTATTGACTAAATCATATGTCCTAGTAATTCGTTCGGTTGACAAGCAGCTTTGGTAAGAGTGGGCTCCAGCCGACTGTGAAATCTTGATATTTTATAGTATATATAACTTATATATATAGTTTATTGTATATTTAGTCCAGTAAAATAATCTTAATTCTTCCCACCAAAACCCAAAATATATTCATAAAGTTAATATTATTTTGTATAGAGAAGCAATTACTTAAAGACATTTCAAGAGACAATCACCCCGTTTGTGTTAATGAATCGAGAAAAAATTGAGGGCGCTACCCCTAAATCCCCATAAATTCTAAGCCCCACCCTAATTGGGATTTCCGGCTCCACCACTGACTAAATAGCAATGACTAGATTAATGTATTAATCTATGAAAAATTTTATTTTTACAAAAAAACATAGATTAATCGATTCCAAATTAATAATTTTATACATATAAAAAGTTATTTTTTGGAGAAAAAAAAAATGGATTTAATAGAGAAAACCCCATATTTTTTTATGAGCCCTCAAATCCAAATGAAGGGTTGGCTTGCGTACACGCAAATAAAAAATTTCCTCGAATTAAGAATTATTTAAAAAAAAGGATTAATTAAGATAAAATAGAAAAAAAAAAGCTGAAAAGGAAACCCATAAATGCTGTGAAATTAATATTATTTTTTTTGGTTCTTTATTGACTGAGAAAATGCAGTGGGACCAAGAAAATGTGGCATGCTAAAGTCTAATCAAGTGATGGACACTCTATCTCTCTTCTCTCTCTCTCTCTCTCTACATATATGTCAGAGAGAGAGAGAAAGAATATTGAATGTGTTCTGCTGCATGTAATATATACATATAAAAAAAAAATGTGTTTGTTATATTAGAAACAAGAGCGAATGGGGCTAGCTAATTTAGATCAATACAAAGTACAAAATAAGTTGTCTGAATCTGACAAATCCCCACAAAAAGGAGTTTGTAATAAAATAAGAAAGAAAAAAAAAAAGGAGAAAAGATCCAGGTGAGGCCTATATATACTAACTAGCTCTAAACATGTTTTTGTGCACACACAACAAACGGATTTTTTATTTTATATATTCATATATACTCTTTCAGATTCATTGGGTCCCATTTATTACAACCTCTTCCTACTTGGTTATAAATGCTTGTTGAACTAATTTCGGGCCGAGGCCCGTGAAGCCCGTTTTACTCCCGTGTCTGGGCCGGCCCGTGGCCCATGAAAACAGGGGGCAGGGTGGGTTGAGCCCGCAGGCCAGACATGCCGTCTTCAATGGGCCAGGTGGGCCATTTGTTCACCACGTAATTTACCCATATATTTTCCAAAAATTACATTTTGAATATTCAAAATGTGATTTTTGAAATATAAGGATAAATTTCGAAAACTTCCTGAACTTAGGTTAAATTATAAACAATACCCTACCTATTTGTAACTATTCAAATTTCCCCGACATTCGTCTCCGTCTTACATTGACCCTCTTATGGTGTGATTTTACACGGAAATATTTTTTAGTCGAGGGATTATTTTCGAAAAATGCAGACTCTACTCCTGCAAACATGATATATTTTTATCCTACTTTTTAAAGATTAAAAATAACTTCTTCCTTCTCGCTCGCTCCGACACTAGCGGCGGCCCACCGCTCGCACACCTATGTAGTGTCGCCGCTAGTTCGCCACAGTCCAAAGCCATGTTTTCGTGGGCTTGATTATTTTTTAGCTTAGTCTAAATCCGTTGGGCCTTTTAATAAGCTTAATGGGCTATAGCTTATTAAAGCACACCACAACCACTATTTTCCTTTAAATTTTAGTAATATTTAATAATACGGATATTCTTTTAGCAATTCGATATAGGCTATAAACTCATGTTATTCCATATATAGTGATATATGTATTCCGATTTATAAAATTTTTATGTGTAGTTTTCTTTTTTTGCTAAACTAACATGCATGTGACAACTCTTTTGCATGCATTTTGGAAAACCTGTCGAATCCTTCACATTTAAAAATATTAATAATTGAATAACTAAATAAATAAATAAAAATAAAGTAGAGAAGAAGGAAAAGAAATCTAATAAGTGGGACTAGTTGATTAATTAAGCTATCTCAGTCAATTAATGAATGATTATTTACTATCTAGTCCGCACTAACATCATCATCCATCTGATTATCACTGATCCCAATCCAACGGTCGAGATCTACTCATCTTCAAGCAAAAACTGTCAAACAACTTGATCCCTCAGTTGGATTTTTGCTTTGCTTCCATTTTCCTCCTCGTTCCTTCCGTACTCTTCACTTTTCGACGCGCACACACAACATTTACACGCAAATATAGATGTATTAGAGAGAGAGAGAGAGAGAGGTTGGAGGGGATTCTGGTGTGGCGTCTGGATCTAGATCTTCGATCGGCGATTCTGTAGTGGTGAGTGTTGAGGTGGACTGGAGAAAAGATGGCCGCCGCCGGGATGAAGAATCAGGCGATTTTTGTGTCGCTTCTCCTCTTCATCAACGCCGCCCACTCATTCTACCTCCCCGGCGTCGCGCCACAAGATTTCCTCAAGGTAGTTTATATTGTCCAATCAATATTTTTCATTTCACTGTGAATCGAATGCATTAGTGTAGGATTTTATGTGTGTGTGTGTGTGAATAGTAAATATGCACATGTTCTTAATATTGCTGTAATTATGTTTAAACAAATAGATTTGGTGTAATCTGATTCAAAGTTGGAATTTAGACGTAAAATTAGTGTTAGGTATATTCTGGAATTTGAATTTTGTTAATTAAGGGCGTGTTAGTGTTAGATCTCTATTATTAGTGAGTGAATGAATCATGCTCTTAGTATTGCTGTAATTATGTGTAAACAAATACATTTGGTGTGATCTGATTCAATGTTGGAATTTAGACGTAAAATTAAGCAGATCGCTTTCGAACAGCTCTATAACAATGTGTCTTATTCATTTGGTTGTTTATATAGATTTCCAGAGACCTAGCATAAAATATTCTCGAACATTTTGTAGTTACTTCAGATAAAAACAACAATTCAGCAATGCCTTAAAGCTTAGTTAGCTCGTGGTGGTTGTTTTAAATTATCGAATATCCAAGCCATGTGCTAATGTTAGTAGTTGTTGACGATTCTTCTTTTTATGATTTTTTTCTTCGTAATTCTAATACATTTCATTCTTCATTGAATCTACGATTTATATTTATCTGAAACCTGTGCCATAATTACAGTGTGGAGGATCTGCATTAGCTGGTCGATATTAAATGCTAGATCATAAAATATATTTTGTTTTAGAGGAACTTAGGGCTTAGGTCGTTTCATAGTAATGAAACATATGCAAAACTGAAACTGGCAGTTTTCAGAATCCTTCAATTCAACAGCCCTAATATACTCAAGAATCTTAACCGTAATGTTTCATGTAGGTATGTACGTGCAAATGCCTCCCGTGATAACTGAAGCTCAAACTTCTATGTATAGTGCTAGATAATGTGAATAATAACGTTTCATAGTTGTAGTTGGTATATATATATATCAACCTATTCGTGCGCAAATATTTATTTCTGCAGCATGTTGCTCAACATTTATTTGTAGAATAATATATCATCTTTCTGTTACTTTCGCCTTTATGATGTAGTTGTTTTCCTCTGACGTGATTAGTCTAATTTGGCATTATTTTATTAATGCAGGGTGACCTTCTAAAGGTGAAAGTGAACAAACTAACCTCTGTAAAAACTCAACTTCCCTACTCCTATTATTCCCTTCCTTATTGCAAACCAGAGAAAATTGTGGATAGTGCTGAAAATCTTGGGGAAGTTCTTCGTGGTGATCGTATTGAGAACTCTCCATATGTGGTATGTCTTTCTTTTCGTCCGTCTTTTTTTTTTTTATTTTTTTTTATTTCTCCTTGCGTTCAGTCGATTCTCAAATCATGCATTACAAAAAACAAACTAACTTTTTATTGAATTTTGTTTCATGCAGTTTAAGATGCGAGAACCACAGATGTGCACTGTTGCTTGCCGTATTATACTTAATGCTAAAGAGGCAAAGGAATTTAAAGATAAGATTGATGATGAATATCGAGTAAATATGTAAGCCACATTGCTGAAGAATCTTATGCTATTCCAAAATCCAAATCATTCACGATAACCTTCTGTATTGATGGTTTCTGTAACAGGATTTTGGATAATCTCCCTCTAGTTGTGCCTATCAAAAGACTTGATATGGACTCCTTGATGTATCAGCATGGTTTCTTTGTTGGTCTGAAAGGACAGTACACTGGAGTAAGTAATAGATAAATTTGTTATTGAAAAAAGTCCCTTTTGCGGGCCCACTCAGATCTTGGTCTCTTACTTTTTACCTGAATTGCTAGAGCACAGATATGAAGTATTTTATCCAGAACCACTTGACATTTATCGTTAAGTACCATAAGGACGAAGAAACTGGTGCTGCAAGAATTGTGGGATTTGAAGTCAGCTCATTCAGGTAAAATATGGCGCTCGTGTGCAATAGATAATGTGCTTCAGATTTATCTTCTATTACAATCGATCTTTTTTTTTTTCAGTGTTAACCATAAATACGAGGGTGATTGGGATGATAAAACACGATTGACAACATGCGATCCACATGCAAAACGCACAGTAACTAGTTCCGATAATCCACTGGAAGTCGAAGATAAGAAGGAAATTATTTTCACGTACGATGTAGAGTTTCAGGTAATGAAATTTATATATTTAAAAAAAAATCCTCTCTTTTCTTTTCTTGATGTTGATTTCAACTTGCTCTGTTCTTCACCTTGGTAGGAAAGTGAAATCAAGTGGGCATCTAGATGGGACACTTATCTTTACATGCCTGACGATCAAATCCATTGGTTTTCAATCGTAAACTCTCTAATGATTGTACTTTTTCTCTCGGGAATGGTAGCCATGATTATGCTGCGAACACTCTACCGCGACATCTCAAAGTACAACCAATTGGAGACTCAAGAAGAAGCTCAAGAGGAAACTGGCTGGAAATTAGTCCACGGAGACGTTTTCCGGCCTCCAACAAACTCGAATCTGCTCTGTGTCTATGTCGGAACTGGAGTTCAATTTTTGGGGATGATACTAATCACCATGGTTTTCGCAGCACTTGGGTTCCTCTCCCCTTCTAACCGAGGCGGACTAATGACAGCTATGCTTCTGCTCTGGGTTTTCATGGGCGTTTTCGCTGGATATGCTTCTTCTCGTCTCTATAAAATGTTCAAAGGAACCGAATGGAAGAAAATCACTCTCCAAACGGCTTTTATGTTCCCCGGTATTCTCTTTGCTATTTTCTTCGTTTTAAATGCCTTAATTTGGGGGGAGGAATCCTCTGGTGCAGTCCCATTCGGTACCATGTTAGTATTGGTCCTCTTGTGGTTCGGAATTTCGGTACCGCTCGTTTTTGTGGGAAGTTATGTCGGTTTTAAGAAGCCAGCTATTGAAGATCCGGTGAAAACCAATAAAATCCCGAGGCAAATACCGGAGCAGGCTTGGTACATGAACCCTTTCTTCTCTGTACTAATCGGGGGCATACTTCCATTTGGTGCGGTATTTATCGAGCTGTTTTTTATTCTCACTTCGATATGGTTGAACCAGTTCTACTACATATTCGGTTTCCTATTTCTAGTGTTTGTGATCTTGATTGTGACGTGTGCGGAGATTACTGTTGTGCTGTGCTATTTCCAGCTCTGCAGTGAGGACTATTTGTGGTGGTGGAGATCTTATTTGACTTCTGGTTCTTCGGCTTTTTACCTCTTCCTTTACGCGGCGTTTTATTTCTTCACGAAGCTGGATATAACAAAACCTGTTTCGGGTGCTCTTTATTTCGGGTATATGTTGATTGGTTCGTTTGGTTTCTTTGTGCTGACCGGTACGATTGGTTTCTATGCCTGTTTCTGGTTCACGAGGCTCATCTATTCGTCTGTAAAGATTGATTAAATAGGTCCTTTAGAAACAAAAAAAAAAAGCAAAAAAAGCGTAGTGTAATACTTGTCGAAAGTTGGATTCTAGTACTTTGCCTTTTCGTTTAGCCTGATAACCGGGTTAGGCCATAGATTCATTACAAGTGATTAATAGTAGTTTGTCATTCATATTTCATACTGGATGGCCTTTTTTGAGTCTTTATGTAATATTTGTTATTCTCTGTTATTACTTGTTAAAAACATTTATAAAGACATTTTTGGTGGATTTTGAAGCAATCATTTGTCCTCTAGTAGAAGAACTTGTTGCTGAATCACATATAATTTTGACAATATCAAGAAAATATTCTTCTAAAATTGAAGAAAAGCTACGATCGAAATTGACGGATATCGGAAATCTCATTACGACGAGTTCGCATATTAGTCAATGACGATACCAGGGGTGGCCATGGCCCCCCCATTTTACCTCACTATAATTAATTTATACATTTAAAAAGAAAAAAATAATTTCCTCTCCATTTGTTTTTATCTCTGAAATTAAAGCCAACAATCATAGACAAAATAAATAGAATGATAAGTATTTGCTCTTCATTGAATAATATTTTTTGGTTCTAAAACTTATATTTTTTTAGCATAATTTATGTTATTTTAATTAAAAGTAAATAATTTTTTTTTTTGCTGTTGGTATAAATTGAAACCAACAGTAAAAAAAAAGTCTGAAGAAGGCGGAAAAACACCATTTTCAATTTTCTAATCTGTAGCAGTTACATAATCATCCGAGTGCTTCTTCCTCCACACACACACACACACACACACACACACACACACAGTCTGTGTGATTGCGCAATTGGCAGTGAACATGTCAGAGGAAAGTCTGGAAACGGTATCTCCGTTCACGGCTCCTCCGCCGCCGGTGCAGCAGAGGCCTACGTGTAAAGCCGCTGTCCGAGCCGACCGCGGCGGCCCTTACATCATTCTCCGTCAACCTAATGGCTACTCCGCCGAGGTATATATATTTTCATTCTCAGACGTTCAAGTTTCCCCATTTTGCTCCGGCGTAATTGATTAACGCAGAATAATTTGAATTGTTTTTTTAGTAATTACGGAAATGGCGCGGACTTAGGGTTTCACCGTTTCGATTGTGATTTGATCCATTTGTAGATTCTGATTTATGGAGCTCAAGTAATATCGTGGAAGAATGAACGCCAACAAGAGTTGCTTTTTCTCAGTAAAAAGGTACTTTAATTCCTCTGATTTAATTACCAGTGGTTTAATTTAATTTTCTGTTCAATATGTTAATTATTTCCCGAATTAATACATTATGTTATTAACTAGTGTTGAGATGACATTCCGTAATCAAACAAGATGTTTAATTAATCAAAGTGTGGTTTAATCATGATTCAGTATTTTACTTTCCTTACTTGAACGGTCGAACACGATGTTCTCTTCTTTAGTACTGTCGTAAATAATAATGAATAACATATTTTAATTTTCAGGCCGTTTACAGACCTCCACACCCGATTCGTGGAGGCATCCCAATTTGCTTCCCAAAGGTTAATTTGCTTCTTTCATTTGTTTTTGATTCCATTTGCCTAGTTGCGTTTATTCGGTCTCATATATGTATATTGATTTATTAGAAGAGAATAAAATGTTGTATAATTAATCATGCACGATAAGTTTTTCGGCAAAGAAAACATGGATAAGCATGGATTTGCCAGAATCAGATTATGGCAAACCGAGACTTTGGCAGATGATGCAGTTTTTCCCCTTCCAACACCCGATAATGCGTACGTTGATTTCGTTCTCAATCATATGCCCCGCGACTTCCCAGACTGGCCTAATCATAGGTACTTTACAATCAATCTTTTAATTAATTGTGATATGTATACTACCATATCAAAATCGAAATTATATCATTCGTGTTTTAATTAATGTTGCAGATTTGAACTCCGTTTACGTGTTATCCTGGGACCCACCGGAGATCTGACTATGACATCTCGTGTAAAAAATGTCAACACTAATGGGGAGCCTTTCACATTCAAATTTGCCTATCACACCTACTTCTCGGTCTCAAATATCCGGTAATACTAATGACATTTATTATATTAATGTTTTTTTTAATTAATATTTGAAACAGTGAATTAACTAACTTGATTAATCCCTTTTTCCAGTGCAACTCAGATTGAAGGATTGCAGACGTTGGATTATCTGGACTATCTGGAGGACCACGAGCAATTAACTGACGAGGCTGATGCAATCACATTCGAAGACGAAGTATATACACACACATAAAGATGGATTTTTACCTAAGTTTAATTAATTATGTTTGTGTAATTAATTAGCTATATATAATTTCCGTTTTAGTTGGACAGGGTATATCTGAACACTCCTGACGATATCTTTGTTACGGACCGTGAGCTTAGAAGAACTATTACCATTCATAAAGATGCTAGTCTTCCTGAAATTGGTAAGGTTTTTATATATATACTTCATAGTGTCGTATTTATATGCAACGAATTATTTAATAAAACGTGCGTTGATAATATTTTTTTTTTTATTTTTTTATTTTGTAGTTGTGTGGAATCCATGGGACATTGAGGCAAGGGATATGGATGATTTAGGAGATGAAGAGTATAGGGAGTTTGTTTGTGTTGAGGCAGCTGCTATGGAGAGTGAAATCACGTTGAATCCGAACGAAGAGTGGACCGGGACTCAGCGCCTTTCCGTCGAGGAATATATTGATTTGATTTGATGAAATATTCACTGCAGTTTGTTACTTTGCAGTTTCTTTGGCTACTAGTTTCTGATTCTTGAGTTTAGCTTATATGTTGATGTATGTATAGTCACTGGCGCGGATTGTGTGTGATCACAAATTTACTTCGTCGAGGGTATTTCGGTCATATCATGTCCGATTTTAAATAAAAAAAGTTGAACTAAATCGACAGATTTGTGTCTTGTTTGTATTGAGGTTGTTTGCAAAGAATTACCTTGTCATTAGGGGTGAACACGGGCGGGTTTGAACCAAAAAGTTAACCCGACCCGACATAGGCCAGGTTTACAACGTGGCGAACCGCACCTGCCTAGTTATGATTACAAACTGCTCGGTTCGGGTCCTTTGATCCATTTTTAGGGGTAGTTTGCTAAAAAAAAGATGAATTATGGATGGGTTTTGCTAACACAAATAACATGAGGACTGTTTTAATAATTAGAGTAAATATAGGGGTGCCGAATGCAATAAAGGCTATTTCACATATGGGAGTCCGGGCCACCTCATATGAATGTAAACACACTATTTCCTTAATTTGGGTCGGATCCACAAATTTTAATCATAATACTCCAAAATGGATCGGATCTTTTATTGGGGGTTTAAAGCCAAATCTAAACTCTGGCCCACTTCAAAAACATTTTTTTCACCTCATTTTTTTTTTAAATTAACTAAATCAGAGAATACGGGGGTACTGTGGTAATTTCGCGGCTGGAAAGTGTTGTATGCCTCTGCTGTATCTATCGATTTCAGTTGGAGCGAAAACGAGATTCTGTTAAGAGTATAAATTTGAAACCAACAGTAGGAAAAAAAAAGGTGTGAAGAAGGCGGAAAACACCATCTTCAAATTTCTGATCTGCAGCAGTTACATAATCACCCGAGTGCTTCTTCTTCTTCCATCTATTTGTAGATTCTGTTTTATGGAGCTCAAGTAATATCGTGGAAGAATGAACGCCGAGAAGAGTTGCTTTTTCTGAGTAAAGAGGTACTTTAATTTCTTTGATTTAATTACCAGTGGTTTAATTTAAGAAGTTGCTGTGATTCATAGTACACACATGTAGTTTTCGATAAGACGTAATGCAGCTTCCTATGGAACAGAGAAATGCTTGCTGTACTAGTTTCTGATTTTTCAATGTGGTTTGATATATACGAACGAGCTCATCGGTTTATTTTAGGTGAACTTCGCGTTTCGGGTATATATATATATAGATTTCACCGTGCACGGGTATGTGTTAAAATGCAGTTTCTTCGTAGTTCTGTTCATAGATCATTCATGATTCAAACTAATATACAAATACAGCAGTACAGAGAGAGAGTTTTATCTTTACATAGTTGCTCCAAAAAAAAAAAAAAAACCAGTAAATATTAGTTACAGATACAATTATCCTGTCATACTCTCACAAACACAACATCACTCCAGTATTTTACAAATCTTCCAACCCTCACTAGTAATCTCCTAAACAATCAATTTAGGAAACATCCAAAAAAAATAAAAAAAGACACCCGAGTTAGAAAACGATAAAATTTAATCAGCGTCGGCAGTAAAATCAGGCTCCGGAGGCTTCTGCAGTTTGACCAGCTCGCGCGTAATCTTGAGATTCCGATTCCTATGCACTCCCCTCAGAGCATTCGCCGCAAACCTAGACACCAGAAAAGTGGCACCAATACTATACGAACCGGTGGCGTCAGCGGGCCCCGCCAACAACCCTTCCGCCTCCTCCTCCTCTTTCCTCTTCATCTCGATCACTTTCCTCTTCGAGTACCGCCGCCATGCCGCCTGAATAAAGCAGGCCGCCCAAGTCCGCCACTGCTGCGAGTAGAAACGGAAGGTGTGCTGCACCTGCCTGCTGTGCAGCCGCCTGAATTGACTTGCCACAAATTTCAGTTCATCGGCTGTTAGTGCAAAAGCTTCCACCTCAGTCAGTGCCTTCACTGTTCTTGTTGAAGAAGGCAAATTAGATCCGGATTTCGGATCGAGGGCCCACGTAAGAAGCTCCTCACCACAGAAATCTCCTTCTTTGAGTAAACTGCGGTTGAAAAATCCGCTTCTTCCACCGTCGGTTGTCACACTTTCTAGACGACCACGTATGAGAAATATCATTTCGTCTACTGGATCTCCCTCTCGCACAATGTAAGTGTTTTCGGTGTAGAGGCAAGGCTTTAGCCTCTCGCAAATTGCGTCCAATAATCTCTCGTCCATGTTCTCGAATAGAGGGACCTGCCAGAAATTGGTGATGTTGAAATCTCAAATAGTAATACAAAGTGGTTCATGGATTTCAAAATGAAGAAAATGAAAATGCAAAAGCAAATGAAAACAAAGAAGTGAAAAGGTCTAGCATTGTTTCGTTCCCAATTTTTACGTGTAGTTTTCTTCAATTTTTTTTGAAGAAAATGTATTTTCAATGTTTTCGTCACAAAAACTTTTCACCTTTTTTTCCCCAAATCATTTTACCTAGTATTTTACCTCGTAACCAAATAGGAAATCGATTTTACCTATTTCCTTGATCCAAACAGAGCCTCTATAAAAATATTATGTTTATGAGTAGCAGGGGGGCACGACCTCCCCGAGTAGACGCATTCAATTGTTTACGAAGGCATAAACAGGAAAAAAATATATTGCAAATTTTGGATAAGTGATTGAATATTTTACCCTCTTGACCAAAGCCAGACAGAGATGACGTTTGATGTCTCTTCTGAGATCCTTGGGCAGGCTCTCAACCAAGCTTTGTTCATCGACTCCACGTGTTTCTAACCACTTGTACTGATCATACCGCCTGACACGGTCTCTCAAATCCGGAGGGAGCAACCGATGGTGCATCCATTGCTCCGAGTCACGCCTTTTGACTCTCATCTCTTCAAGTCGAATAGTGAGTGATTGAAGGTATGTCTGTGGGAATAGCAAAACACCCCAAAAAAAATCAAAATTAAAAATTAAAAACAACTACAAACAAAAATGTATTTGATTATGATGCCCAACTAATGCCAAGAATCCTATGTCACCTGCATATTTCCAATCAAGAGCGCAAAGAGAATGAGTCCGAAGATGGCAAGTGCAATGCTGAATATCGACTCTCCAGGGTAAGTACTGGTTTGGAGTCCTTGCCCAAGTGTACTGCACAAACGAGAAGCGATATATATATAAAAAAATATTACTAAAGCTTGAGGTTAAATTAGTATGCGCGTGGTTAGCTGATGTATAGAAGTCTGTTTACCTCAAATTCTGCAGGCCCCACCACAGACAGTAACAATATTTGGACAAGAACTTTCTGGACGAAACAATCTCCGCCGCCAAAGCCTGCCGGAATATTCCAAAATCAAACGGCGGGTTGTTCTGATCATCCACAGGGCAAGCCGTGCTTAAAACCGAGTCACTAATATTGCTCCAGATATCATAATCATTCATATTTTGATTCCCACAGTATAAAAAACCTGTGACGCATTTTCCACTCCGTTTACAAGCTCTCTGCCAGCATGTATCATTACGCTCCACAGATAACAAGTACCAAAATGCCCCTACTATCTGAAACAAAAAGATGTATAGAAATGGGGTTTGATGAAATTTTGTATCATGAAAAAAGCAGCAGCAAAACCAATATAATAATATAAATGCAAGCTTACATGACTGGCAAGCATGTACAGTAGCAAATAGGACACTGCACCAGCCCATGCAGTTTCGGCAAAGACACCAGAAGTTCTTTTCAGTTCCGAAGTTAGAGGCATAATTCGAGCAAATCTCGGGATGTACTGAAGTAAAATGATAAAAAACAATGCTTGTTTTGTAGTCAGTACATCTGACCCTTTTGACCTCTGCAGAAATCTCCAGACAATAATCTGCATAAATCCAAAACACTATACAGTTAGAAAACAAGTATTTAATAAAGAACATATGATGTGACCACATAATATCTCAAACCTGTGGAAGGGGAAGAACCGCAAGGAAATCAATGATAAAATAGTACTTCAAGTAACGTTTAGCAATCTGTGCAGGATCTATCACAAGCTCGCCTCTTCCAAATACACGAGATGACGGGGCGATATAAGCGGTTCGGAATTGGAGAGCCATGTGGATAAGATAGAAAGCATCGACAATTGTACGCAGAGTTGTAGCAGTGATAGCCAACTTTCTATCTATGTCTAGGCAATTCGAGGACTTGTTAAAAACCGGAAGAAAGAAAAACAGCGGGTCCACAGATACTGCCAGAATACACGACATCACAAAAAGCTTGTTCCATAGTGTAAGAAGTTTGTCTTGAGGGTCAAATATCTTCTTCTCGGACACTTTTAGGTCTTCCGGAAACACGGCTGGGGAGACACCAAATCCTAGGGACCGGCCGATGGATTTTAATCCTTGAGAACCTTTCCTCATACCTGTCTTAAAGGATTTTGTTGGAGTATGAGTTGTGTGAGTACCACGTCCTAAACCGTCAATAGTGAAGCCACATTTATTTGTTGCCACTGAAGCTGATGGGGATGACAGTCTTGAATCCAGGTCATCCAACCTTTATTACAAAAATCCCTCATTAAAAATAAATTAAAGAAAAGGAAAAAGAAAAAGAAACATCTAATACTTGTTCATCAAATGCAGGTATGCAGTAACCAATAATGCAGCAATTAGGGATTCCGATTTTAATTAAGTCTCACTTATTTGGGGTTAGCATCTTTATTGATTTTCAGGACATATTAAAAGCAATGTAACTTCTTTCTCCTTCAAGTAATCTGCCTAATAAAGTTAGCAGCAGGACAAAAAAAGTTCTATTTTCTAACATTTAAGAAAAAAAAAAATAATGGGATACCTTACAAATTTGTCCCGTTGCCCAGCGATATATGGAGTCTTTGGACCGCAATCAAACATTATGTGTGATTAACGTAACTCCTTCAACTGCACGCAAAAGAGGAAAGTTTCAACAGTCTGCAAGAAAGTAATACATGCTGAACAATTTCAGATTGTCTTTTAGGAAAAAAAAAAGGTTTTCATTCTTCAACATTTAAAAGCAATTCGCTATGCACGAACTGAACTAAGAGCAAACATAAATGAATGTTGTGAAAACCCTAAAACCTTCTACCGTCATAATCAAGATCATAAAACCCGAGGTCCGTAAAGATCATCTGAATTCAATTATTACAAGTCTAAAACCTCTAAAAGTCACTTCAAGATCCAAAAGCAAAAAATACGATACTCCACCACCAATAATTTTTTTTATTCAAAGTTCCTAGTATACAAAAAGATCCATCTAAAATTCTCCAAAATCCCGCACAACCAGAATTACAAACATGGAGGAAACTAAAGCCGCAGATATGCAAAAAACCCCCAAAATCCAGAGTTCCCCAATTGAACTCAGATTACCAATCTTCAAGGTCAAGCTACAACAACTCCAAAAATCTCATCAAAATCGTCACCAACAAACTTATTATATCCCTTAATCCCTACAGATATACCTTATAGCTGCACTATCCCATCAATAATCACAATTAACCACAAAAAAAAGGGTAAAATTGGTCAACTAATTATATTTTCAATTTACCTCAAAAAATGCATCCCGTGACGATTTACTGCAGCAGTGATCTTTCTTCTTCTCTGAATCAAAAAAAAAAAAAAAGGTTTACACAAATACTGGAGCTAATCAAAGCTTCGAGATAATGCAAAAGCACAACCGTAGAATAGCAATCAGAGGAGAAAAGGCATCTAAATTCTGAGTGGTAATTTAAGTCGGAGATATATGAATAAAAAGTATAATTCAGATGCAGAATAGGTAAAAGCTAGATCAAAGGGATGGACTTACAGCAGAAATTCGCAGATATTAAGTCATGAAATTCCAGTAGAGAGAGAAAGAGAGAGGAGAGAGAAATGACCTGTTCAAGCTTGAAGAAGAACTCAAGTCAATTTTTATCTATACCGAAGTGGGGGAGCACAATTTCCTAAATGACCGATGTACCCCTATCTATTTCTATTTCTCCTACCAACAATATATTTTACAATTAATACATTTCATACCATCTATTTTTAAGTTATTAAAAACCAAAATTAATTCTAAAATGTTTGACGTGTTAACGTAGTCACATTTGTTGGACTCACTACTATTATTATTATTTTATTTTTTTCATTTATTTAATTAACCACTACCATGTAAAAAAGTGAATCGACACTCTCCAAATTTTGCTAAAGATTTTTATAAAAAAAATGAAAAAGTATGTTGATAACTCAAATGCGTGTACAATGTATATTCCATCGATAATAACAATTAGGGAGTGGTTAATTAGTTGATTGTCTTATAAATATAATATAGTTTTATTTATTTAATCACCGATAAACATATACATATTTATTCCGGCATATTTGAGCATTTCGGCCCACTAGAAAATTAAGCCCAAAATAAGAGAAAGCCCATTATAAAATACCCATTTGAATGAATTGACAATATTTAGTAAATCACAATTGAATGATATTTGGATTCCAATTATATATATATATATATATATATATACACACACACAAACATGCACACATACGTATGTGGTTGAGAATTTAGTCTTGCTGTCTATCAAAGAAGACCAGACATATAACATATGTGACAGATACAAGACCTGCTAAAAACAGTGAGTTAGCAATCTGTCGAAAACCGAACGATAAATTACAAATGCCTCGTAAATTATTAGACTAACCAAACACTAAAATACGACATGATTATTAAATTAATCACGGCTTATATCACTAACCAAACGATATCTGAATACCGCCTAGGAATACTCGGACATCGACAAATACACCGTAGAACAGAGAAGAAGAAAAAAGATGAGTAAATATTATTCACTCATACGATACCATCTCAATGCTCTTCGACATTCTACATTATCGAACGAAATACAACCCAATAAAAAAAATCTAGGATTGACTAATAAGCCCCTGAGCAATAATATTTCGAGCCTCGTTACAAAGGGCATCTGAGTTATCTCCTACTATGGGTGGGTGAATAATAACTTTCACTGATCCTGGATTAAGTGTTCCTTCCATTCCGACAGGCATAATATCACCTGTTCCAATTAGAGTAATCGGAATAACCGGTACTCCAGTTTTTGCAGCCACGGTAAATGCACCTTTCTAAAAAAATAAAAAAATAAAAAATAAGAGATGGAAAATTAAGAAAATCCTGTAAAATGAGTGGCAGAATAAAGCCTAACCTTAAAAGGGCCTAATTTGCCATCTTTACTCCGAGTGCCCTCTGGGAAGAAGAAAACCGATGCACCCTTCTTAACCAGAGCCATGCATTGCTTAAGGCAGACCTATATTCGATTTCCGAAGTAAGCAATAAAACTAAAAATGAATTGCTCGAAAATGTGAAGTAAAAAGTTTATAAAGAAGTATTCAGTACCAATTGACTTCTGCTGTCCAAGCGCTTCAAAGGAATTGCACCGAGCAGAAACATGGCCCACCCAATGATTGGATAAAGAAAAATCGAAGTCTTGCTAATGAATTTGAAGCTTCTGCCAAGTGTCAGAAGGGTATATATGTCCAAAAAACTTTGGTGGTTTGACACGTATATAGCAGGAGTATCTGCTGAGGGAAAATTATCCAAGCCCACGTACTCGATCTTGACCAATGGAGCAACTGTTAGAGAAGCCCATAATTTGGCAATAAGATAATGGGATTTTCTTCGATATCGGTCAAACACGAGCACAAGTGGATGCTGTAGAAGCATTGGCACAAACAAGACGATTGCAGCACAGATTGTCACAGCGTAAAAGAGGATTCCTCTAACTTTTGAATTCAACCAAATTTCTGAAATTTTAGAGAATTGAGTGGTGAGAATAAACAAGGTTAGTAGTAATTTAAAAAAAAAAGAAAAAAAAAACTAGAAGTGGGGGCCGGGTAATAGGGTACCTGATAATGGATATGAAGCTGCGGTGGATCCAGTACCCGCAAGTTCGGACCTAACAGCTACGTCTCGTGGTAATTTTCGTCTTTCATTACATGCACGATCATTACGTGTTGTGCTGAGATCAACTTCATGGTACAAAGAGCTTTGGATTGGATAACTTTGTTTTCTTGAGCTACATATAGTTTCATGTGGAAGGCCATCTACATGGGCAAAAAGGGAAATTCAAACCAACGAAAAAATGATTCTATAGTTACCAAGAAAGTGAATCTAATTAATTACCCTCGTAAAGACATTAACATGTAATCATAAGTCGAAAATAATGTGTTCAAATCATAATTTTATTTTTCTAAATATCCTTGTACTGCATAATGTAGTTTAAACATGGAAAAAAATAGATCTGTACGGACTTAAAAGGAATAAGTTTGGCTAGGATAAAAGGCTATTTCGAAAAAAAACGATATCTGGAAAATAAACAAAATACTCTCCAATTTCAGTATGTTTTACGAACACGTAAGTTTTTGCACCTAAATATGTGAATAACATTGTATTCCAGCAGATACTTCGTATCATATGAATCAATCGAGAAATAAGCAACAATAAGATGATGCTTCCAAAAAAAAGTCAATGATGAGAACATTAGTAAAGTTTTTCGATATCATAGCAAAGGACAAAAACTCGAAACTTGTTATAAATGGAAGTTTGAATCTTATACAAAGAAATCACTCATTGTCGAATCATTTATTTACCGAGCTCTTACAATTGCAGGCGAAATCCGTTGAGTGAACAGTTCTATTTACTGAGAATCAATTCAGAAAATGCTTATTCATGCTCCAAATAATTTGATCCAAAAGACATTTAGCAACTAAAAAAACAGAGTAAAGACCTAAAAGAAAATCACTCACGTTTTCTCGAATATCTCTGAAATGGTTGTTTAAGGCTGAAGCTTCTGAAGCGATATCCGTTATGAGATGCCCACTGTGAAGATCAATATTAAGCAACAGAACTGTCAGCAAAAAGTAGAACAACGAAATTCAACTAATTAAGAGTTAAACGACTCTCGAACCAGATTAAAATCTCATTTATAGGTACTCGTTCAAATTGCTTCCACGCACTTTTTGCCTCTTCCCAATTAGACACACATCGACACATTAGCATTACTCGAAATACTAAAACAATGAACTCCCAATCCATCCAATCCCCAGTAAGACCCAAAAAAAAAAAAAAAAAAAAAAAAAAAAAAAAACAACCCAATTAGATTAGGGCAGGGCTATGAGGCACATCAATTACACAATTTAATGTTGAACTAAGTGCCAAAATAGTGGAAATTCACGAACAACCTAAGTGATCTCGAACAATACATATTTTTGAGTTATGTCCAGTCAGATTCATCAAACGACTCCAATTTCTAAATTTTATTCCACACTAAAAATCAATCAAAATAAATAAACACAAAATTGGTAAATTAATTGGCAAATTAGAACCACCCACGGTGACCCAACACCTATTCTTCAGTATAAAAACAGAGTCGCGCACGAAGAAAAATAAAAAATTAAAAAAAAAAACAAAGAAAAAAAAAAGTGAGCGAGTCAGTGAGTGAGAAGATGATTTACAGGTCGATTAAAAGGTCGAACGAAAACCCTCTGCCCCCTTTCGCCTGCGTAATCACAAAATACGTCGAAAACTAAATTAAAAAAAAAAATTTAAAATTAAACAGACGACTTCGCACACAATTCACACACACGCATATACAAAATTATGTATATTTTTTTGATACAGAGAATAGATGATTGGATAGGGGAACTCACATGAATGATGAAGTGAAGAAGCGGGAGAAGAAGATGAAGAACACGAGGAATTGAGATGCAAAGATAATTCCATTTTTGCCGATACGGCCTGTTTGGCTTACATTGGTGATTTTTAAATCCTTGTTTGCTTTGAAAATTGTGAAATTTTAAAGATAAAGATGGCAATATATCTAAATGGGAAAACAAATTATTAAATTAATTAACATAAATTGCTAATAAAGGAAAAATAAAATTACACCTTTTATTTAACCATTATTGAAGGGACAAAATTATAGTGAACACCTTCAAACCTATATTATATAAAGTCTTTTAGTATTTATTTCGATCAAAAACAAAATTCAACCCACTCCATAGTACATTTAAACTTTTATAAATTAATACAGTCGGGACTAGGGAAATTCTATTAATTTAGAGAATTATTAAATTATCGAGTTAACAATTTAACACGTTCTTGCCGAGTCAGGACCGAGAGAAACTATGGTTTAAGCGATGTTATTAATTTATCGAGGACCGAGAAAAACTATGGTTTAAGCGATGTTATTAATTTATCGAGGACCGAGAGAAACTATGGTTTAAGCGATGTTATTAATTTATCGAGGTTCTACTGTAATTAATTTTAGGGTCAATTACAATTGCTCCCGAGGTAATGTCTATTTAGGAAAACCCCCTTTACCTTTTTCATAATTATATACATCATCCCTTGCAATATGTATATTTCTTGCAATATAGTAGGGGGTTGGATGTAAGAAATTTACAAACTTTAGAGGGGCTTGATGTGATTTCTTAAAATTGATTGGCCCTTTTGTAATTACACTTCATATCAAGGAAGTGATTGTAATGGTTGATTAATCAAACTGCCTAACCAAGTTTACTAATCCAAGTCAATTAAACCCAATTGACTAATGCAATTCCACGTATACAATCAACATTTTTTTTTTAATTATTTGACTAAGTCTTTCTGACTCATTTATGCACAACTCTCTCAATTACAATTCCCTCAACCGATATTCAATTAGATATTCAATTAGGGTGATTCAAGTTAGATTAGAAATTAAATTCAAATGACTATAAAATTGATTTATTGAGTTTTTTGCCAAATTCGAACCGAAAGATGGCCCATCACATTTAGAGCATCGACAAAATCATAGAAGCACACGTCAATAATACCAAATCCCAATTCAATCCCATATAAATAGCCGTCAAGGCTGGTTAAGATTAAAATTGGCCCAAATACAAACAATTAGGACTTGCGAGACATACATAAGTTGGCCCAAGATAAATAATTAGGCTCAAATTAGCCCAAATTTATAGTCTAATTAAGCTCATGAATAATTTTAACACACACATATATATATATATATATATATATATATATATATATATATATATATATATATATATATATATTATTTAATCAAATGTAATGTACGTAATCTAATATATGCATGCATGATCCGATGATGCCAGTTCCCAGAGAATTAATATTGAAACTAGAAGTTATGTACATTGCATGCAGAAAGAAACGAAACTAATCAATCCGATTAGTCATTACATGCATAAACCAATTACATACAGAAATACAAGGCTAATTAATTAATTAATTAAGTCTCATCGCATTCATAAATAGATTCCATAAACTCGAACAAATCAGATCCCCTCAAAAAAAAAAAAAAAAGAAAAAAAAAAAGGAAACCCTAATTAAAACAATCGAAACAATATAATATATATGTGTATATATATAAGAACACTAATAAAATAAAATAAATATAATTTGAAGCTGCAGAAATGGAGATTAATTAATAAAAAGTTCTAGTTGCGTGGGCGCGTGTTCTCAGGCGTGGCAGTGCCGCTGGCCACCCTGGCAACGTCGAGGGCGGTGGCTTCCGGCTTCTTCTTGCTGTACAAAGTCAGATACCCAATCACCGCCACCACCGCAAATCCTCCGACCGCCATTCTCGCCGGGCAGAATGGCATCTTCCTCCTCTGGTTGAGCACCTCCGTGCTGTGCTGCGTCGCCGACGCCGTCCGCGGCGTCCCCTGGTACGCCCCCTCCGGGCCCTGCTGCCGCCCGATCGGCGGAGCTGTCGCCGCGGCGGCGGCCTCCTTCATGGGTGTGCGGCCCTGCCCCGGTGGTGCTGGTGCCTGCACTCCTTTTGGATTCACGTTTCCCGGTGCCACCATTTTTTTGGTTCTTTAACTTTTTTATGTGATATTTAAATTTATTTTTTCTAGCTGAATTATATTAGTTGCAATATATATATAAATAAAGGTCGGTAGTTAGTTATGTCTGTTTGACAAGTGGAGAAGTGCCATTGAATGTAGAGAAAGTTTACACAATTTTTTTCATAATCTCTCGTCTTAATTAAATTAATTACTAATTAAAGTACTTAATTTTTTTGAAGCTGTTGAATCGGTCTCTTTAATTTTATTTTTCAATTTCAATTAATTTAATTGATAAACACCATTTCATGATTGAAATATATATATATATATATATATATATATATATATATATATATATGTATATATATATATATATGTATATATGTATATATATATATATATGTATATATATATATATATATATATATATATGA